AAACAAGTACAATTTGACCTTTTTAGAGAGATTTAGAAAAATAAAACCACCTCTGGGGTCATTTGGGTGGATTTGCCATATCTCTGGAACCCATCGGTCGATTTTGAACTTTTGAACCGTTAGAGCCAATAGAATCGAGGGGAAGTTCCAAAATCCACCTACACGTTACCATTGAGGAGTGAGAGTGATGCGCACGCAGTTTGCCCAAACCGAAAGCTATGTTACGCTCTGAAAACTAGGCTTATTGCCATAAATATGATGATGGATTATCAGTAATCATTTCAAAGTGACACAGAGACATTGGATTAACCTTCAGCAGCGTTTATATGTGTTGTAATGCCCTTGAACACAACTTTTGATCAGAAAACAGCAAAGGTAAGACATATTTGCCGTTTTGGCCCGGTAAAGTGAAGTTGTGTGTTGTCTTTGCTGGCTTTCGCTGCCGCGAGTTTTGGTCGCACAGGGATGATACTTATACCATTGGAATCTGTGGAATCTCAGCTTTCATATGCTATCGAGTTTGTGCAGATCCGATGAAGTATGACATATTTCTACCGTGAGTTATGTGCTAAGTACGTTAGCACTCTTTCGCTTAGTGCTAATTCAGAGGCTCGGCGTTAGACTTTTGTTTTGTTTCGTTAAAAAAATGTCATATCGTCAGGTAGCTGAGTTTCTTCCCGTTAAGTCGGTATGACACATTCATAGTAAATGTTAAGAAGCCCTGTGACGCTGTTTCTTGCAAGATGTTGCTTGTTGCCCCGGGGGCGGGGGCTCCCGGGCTTAACAGGTTAATTGTTGCCACCTGTGTCCCCTTACCTTGTGTGTATATATAGTCTGTGTCTCCCCTTGTCCTGTGCCAGTTCGTCTTGTCTCACCAAGTCTGCCAGTCATTCCTTGACCTTGTTAAGTATATTTTTGATAGACTCTTTGTGGTCCTTTTTTGATAATCCAAGTACCGTAGATGTTTTGTTTAGCGTTTTTGATCTTATAGTTTCTCAGTTTTGATCCTTCTAGTGAGCGTTTTGTGTTTTTGCCTTTTTATTAAATACTTTGTTAATCCTGACCTGTTTCTGGTGTCGTGCGTTTGGGTCTTGAGCCTTGTGACATTCATAACAGTATTTTCTGTTTTGCTTTAATTGTAAGATCTCAGACTTTTCATTAAAATAACAAGCTTGGAGCTTTCAGACACTACATCTTAAAACCATAAAGCATCAAGAAATGGCAAATAATAGTATAAATAATAATAAATAATATTATTTTAAGAATGATTAACAAATCTACTCTCAAGAAAATGCAGGGCGAGCTCTAGCAATAGACTATAATTATACAAAAAGTAAGAAAGAAAGAAGCAGTACAATCTGCTTGTTGCCATAGTTACCCTCTCTTCAAAGTCGTCGTCACTGTCGTAGAGGTCGTCATGACGAAGCCTCCACTCGTACTCCACGTTCACATGATGGTCGAATTGGTTGGACTGGGCCTGCTGCAGCTGCAAGGACACAACGCGGTTCAGATTTATAATATAAAGAGTAATGCTCAACAGCCACATGTAGAGACATGCAGCGGAGCGACGCCTCACCAGCGCCTCACAGTGGCCGTGCTTCAACCTGCGGCTCACGTCCAGAGCGGTCTCCCCTAACTCGTTTTCTGTACACACACAAACAAATAAAATGTTACTGAGAAGACAGTGTTACTGTCATGACTATCAACAGGAAAATGTGTGTGTGTGTGCTTCTACATTTGAGGACCAGTTGAGAGGAGAGATATTTTTTTAAGAAACTTAGACTTACCATAAATCAATTCCCCAATTAACAAAATTATCCTATATTATATTATTATATTCATATTAAATGTCTTAAAACATTTTTTAAATGTCCATGTTTTCTTAATATATCATCACTTTCTGTATCAGTTCTCACTTTGAAAACTTGTCCTCACTTTTCAATTTGTTTTCTGTTGGTCCTCACATGTACTGTGTACAAATATATATGTGTGTGTGTGTTTTCATTACTGGTGTGTGTGTTGGCCCTGGCTCTCAGCAGCAGCCTCACACAGTCGCTCTTGTTGTGCAGACAGCTGTAGTGCAGCGCTGTGTTTCCTGCGGATGTCTGTGCGTCCACATTTGAGCTGAAGACAAAAAAAAACACACACACACAGGTGGACACAGGTAAACATATGAACACACACTAAGAGGACACTACTCGAAATTGTCAGCAGAAATCACTGACCAGTTCTGAGCTAAGAAGTCTAGGATGTGCAGGGACGTCCTGTCAGCCAATAGGACGGCGAGATGGAGCGCTGTCTCCCCTCTCTCCTGTTGGCATGGAAACAAAATGCTGAGTTTATGTGGGTGTTGTGTGTTGGTTAGTTGAGTTTACCTGTGTGTTTACTGTTGTGTGTGTACCTGTATGTGTGCGTGCAGCGGCTGGCTCAGCTCGGTCCTCTGGGCGTGCTGCTGGATCAGACTGTAGATGTCGCAGCTCTTGGTCGCCTCCTGCAGGCCAAACCGCTGCGCTGCATTCGAGCAGTGGTTCCGCCTCACAAAATAACCGTCCTGATACTTTGACAGGATGAAGTCTTTACGCTCTCCCCTGCACACACACAACATGAATATACAGGTCAACTTTATTAAAATGATGTAAATGGGTTTGTGTTTTCGTGAGGTGAAGCAATTATCATTTCAACATAAGACATGCCTTTATCTAAATTAAAGCAAAAATAATTGTTTAATGTTAGTTGCTACACCTTATTAAAACTGTGACTATGATTTTAATTAATTCCCACTCATGCTCAGTGTGTGTGTGATGTGTGTCTTACATGTGGCTCTCCTGGGACGGCTTCATTGATGGACTCAGCAGGTTTGCCTCCAGTATTTCATTAAAACCAGAGTTACCAACATTCCTGGCCAACTGAAAGAAAGTGGAAATATATAATTGCATCACCACACTACAGAATACATTTAATAACATTAAAGCCTTGGTTCTGAGAAAACAATTGTTTGTGTTTGTAAATGTTCAGGGGATGCAATTGTTTTTTCTGGTTTGCTTTTTTGTTTGCCTTTTTGGAAGTGTATATATGGAAAAGTTGAATTTTATATTGTCGACAATATAAGACATTTATGAGGCATATAAATAACCCAAAAAAACAACAACGGTGAGATGTCAACTAGGACTTCCATGGCATTTAACGAAGAAATATACAATCATACAGGTTTAAATCATTTTGTGTGTGTTGTAACAGCTAAAGATGAAGGATTTACAGAAGAATGAGGTTTGATGTATGTCTAACTCAACACCTAACTTCAGGATGGATTATTGTTGGATTAGCTTGTTAGCTAACAGCGTGGACGTACCAGAAGGTCTGAGGTCCCCAGACTGTCCAGACTCAGAGACTGGATCCTGGAGACGTGGACCCCCATCTCCCTGTGGATCCCCGAACACTCGATACAGGTCAGGATGCCCAGGTTGGTGGAGAGCCATCCAGGATCTACAGAGACAGGAGATTAGATGTTGTCGCCATTGTTAAATATATCATATAAGTTTCTCTGAAATCTAATTAGCGCTGCTTCTAACAATTATTTTCAACATTGTAGAATCTACCATTTATTTATTTGATTAATTAAAGTGAAAAATGCAATTAGGAAAAGAAAGGAAACAATAAGAGAGTACAATAAAGTGGAGACCCTTTAAATAGTGCTACAGTGTTTATGTTATGCATGCTTAAAATATGGGAATTTATCTTTTTCAGTAGCTTTTACTGATTAATTATTATGTCTAGTCTCTATGTATTCCATTTATTTTATGTTTATCATGTGTGTTTCTACAGTATTTTCCAAAAATGGAAGCATTCCAACCCTGTTTTCATGCTCAGTATATTTATTTTAATCCTTTTTGCAAAGCATTTTGTGCTGCTATTCTTGAATGAAAGGTGTCATACAAATACGGTTTTACTATTATTGATTATTTGGGGTTTTCTTTAAACAGCTTACAAACAGGAAACAAAAACACAAACTTGTTTTGTAATGGTAATTAAACAAAGGGCTTACGCATTACTCAATTGACAGGGCATGTTTCACTTTTGAAATGGTATTACACTGATACATTGATAGATAGATAACCTGGAGCTCCGCAGTCACAGCAGTTGTTGTTTCCGGGCATCCGCCGGATGTCTTCAGTGATGGCCCGGGTCAGATCCTCTACGCTGCTCTCCCCTCCTCCCCCCCCTTTAAAGCCCCCGTCCAGGGCCGCACTCAGAGCCTCCTGCTTACTGTTACTGAGCACCGAAATCCAGCTGCACACACACAACACACAACATTTTAAACTTTTTAACGATATTTATCATACAATTTTTTTTATATTTATCATTTATTTTTGACTCACGCCACACATTCAGCGTCCTCCTCTGCCATGAAATGGTAGGTCCGATTATCTGGAGGAAAAAGGTTATATATTATGAAATCAAACACATAATTGTGTTATGTGCATGGTGTACACAGCCAATAACAATTCTGGTTTCTGATAGTTCTGGAGTAATATAACTTCTTAAAACTGAACACTATAATCGGACATCTATAACCAGGGGTGCACACAACTTTCTCAGTGAGGTACAGATGAGTACCTGGAGTCAGTGTTTGGTACTCCAACTTCTGGCGATTGTCAACGGGGGGGGGGGGGGGGGGGGGGTGTTAGTGAAGTACAGCGCTTCGCGATTGTCAACGGGGGGGGGTGGGAGTGGAGTACAGAGCTTCGTGACCGCGGAGCGTGTGAGCGTTGTGATCAGCTGTTTCAGCGCAGGGCTGCTGTACAGACCGACGTTAACAGCAGCCCTGTCTGTGCACACGGAGACCGACTCTGTCGTCCGGTGATCTAACCGCCTTCTGGAAAAGCTTCACAAGTACGTCGGTACGCAAATGCGCTTTGTGACACAAGTTACGGTACGCATTTCAGATTGTTACCTGCGTACCAGTTATGTGCACCCCTGTCTATAATGTACCTAGATGTAGGTTTCTGAAAAGGGCTTAGGGGAAACGTCCTCGCGTGCGTGCGTGTGTGTGTGCGTGATTGCGTGTGTCTTACGGGAGATGAGGTCAAAGCATTTCTTGTCCTCCACACTGGGTTTGACCTGACAGGTGAGCAGGTTTAGTCTGGTAGGAGGTTTATTAGGCTGAGAGAGAGAAAGAGGATGTGATCACTTTGATAACTAAGCTCAAGAGTTCAAATGTATAATCACACAAACACACTTACACACAGACAAACTCACAGTGGCGTGTGCGATGGTCAGGTAACAGTTGTGAACTGAACATTTCCTCTTCTGCCACATTTTTCTCAAGCTGAAACACAAAGACACACAGGATTAGTCCTACCATTATTACTACTTATACTGATGCTCCGTGTATTGTGCGCCTCTTTGTTGTTGTTTTTAATGATTTTATAAAAATAAATGTATTTATTAATATGTATACATGTGCATTTTCCTGTAATAAATAAATGAGCAAAATGAACTATGACTCCCAATACTTTAGTATTGTTACAGCCTAAGTTTGAAGCTTGAATCATTTTAACATTAACTTTTATCCCTGATCTTTATTTTATTTTATGGATTTATTAATAAACTTATTTACATTGTATTATTTTATTGTTCCGAGTACAAAAGTGTATTTATTGTGGTTTTCATTTTCATTTTCATTTTATATGTACTGTATAGCATAGCTGGATGTGTGGTTGTATGAAGGGTGTGTTTTAATTTAAAATGTTTACCCGTCACTCTTCTTGTAGAGGAATCCTGCCCTCTCTGTTCCGTACTGTTTGTCTCCGAGCAGCTGATGCATGCTGTACACCTGCTTAGGTAAAGAGTCCTACAAACACACACACACACACACACACACACACACACACACACACACACACACACACACACACACACACACACACACACACACACACACACACACACACACACACACACACACACACACACACACACATTAACACACCTGTTGAACATTATTATAGTGTTACCACATCAGTGTTTGTGTCTCAGACCTGCTCTGAGTTGACGGCCGGCCTCAGCTGATCTCTGAGGGTCACCAGCTGTTTCTTCTCCTCCTCCTGACGCTGCTTCACCTGCACACACACAACAGATCACCTGAGCCAAATTCATCTTAGTTTACCCTAAAAACCTTGATTTATGTACAGAAATAATCAAATCAAGCAGACATGTTATTTGCATACTTTGACTCCAAATGATAAACTCAATATACGTGTATACCGTGATAAGGACTCCATTCAACTCCTCCATGTACTGCTTCAACTTCTGAGTGGTGGAAACACACTCCTGCAGGAAGCTACACACAGATACAGAAAAAACGGACATGTTTAGGACACGTACATGGGTGTGGGGGGTGTGTGTGTGTGTGTGTGTGTGTGTGTGTGTGTGTGTGTGTGTGTGTGTGTGTGTGTGTGTGTGTGTGTGTGTGTGTGTGTGTGTTCTTACTTATTGTGGCTGTGGTAGTGTTTGATGAGGTTCTGCAGAAGGTCGACGCCTCTCTTCGTCTTTATCTCGTTGACCTTAATCAAATACTAACAGAGAGAGAGAGAAAGAGGAGTGTTTGATGGCTGACCATTTTTAGAGTAGAAAAGTAAAAAGGATGAAAGGGGAAGGAGGAAGAAGGCAAGGATGAGAAGGAGTAGAAGAAGAAGAGAAAAAGGAGCAGAGATTATAGTAGAAAGACAAAAGGGTTGGGTAGATGAGAAGTAGGAAGAGGAAGAAGAAGAAGAAACAACAACAAAGCACAAGGAGGTGAAGGAGGAGGCGGGGTCAAAGATGGAGGCGGAGTCACTGACCTCACACATGCTCAGTTGGAAGGAGCGTCTCTCCTTCTCGAGCTCCTCTGCGATCTCTCCTCCGCTGACCTCGTTCCTCACCATCCCATACTGACGAGCCAGCTCCCTCTTCTCCTTCTCCACCTGCTTACTGCACACACACACACACACACACACACACACACACACACACACACACACACACACACACACACACAAACACACACACACAGACACACACACACACACCACACACACACACACACACAAACACAAACACACACACACACATACCATGTATACATCACATCAGGGGACATTACATTGACTTACATGCATTTCCTGGAGACTTATCCTAACCTTAACCATAACCAACACATGCCTAACCCTAACCCTAACCCTAACCTTAACCAAGTCTTCACCCTCAAATGAATGATTCTCCTTATGGGGACCTCCATTTTGTCCCCATAAGGGAGGCGAGTCCCCACACGTGACTGTGTAAACAGATTTAGGTCCCCACAAGTATAGTAATGCTAGGCCACACACACACACACACACACGCACGCACGCACACACACACACGCACACGGTTGGCAGATCCCAAATGTGCGACTGCAGGTAAGATACCATTACTATTCCCAAGAAAGTTCAACAAAAATGAACTCCTGTCCACTCCACAATATTTGCTTCTTTGCTCACGTAGAATGAGTGGAACGTGAGGTGTGTCTTTAATGCTTTATTCACCCACTATTTACATCTGTCTTTTTTTAAATACCGTAATTTTCGGACTATAAGCCGCGACTTTTTTCCCATTTTTCGACCCTGCGGCTTATATAACGGTGCGGCTAATCTATGGATTTTTACAGCTCCGACGACTTGCTCTGAAAACACGGAGGAGCAAAACAACAAACGAGTGAAACAAAGCGTATATTAAAGCCCGGGAAATATACCCGTTTTGACGCTGTTTCAGGAGCGCCTCTAACATTGTTTTGAAGGCCTGTTGCTAGCGGGGGATGCTAGCGGGGGATGCTAGCGGGGGATGCTAGCGGGGGATCCTCGGGCTAGCCCTGTAGACACCGGGCCGAGAGAGCGCAAGGGACCGGGACAGGAGCTCCGCGGGATAACGACCAGGTTTGACTGACCCTGCCAGTCCTATCTTATAACACAAAGAAGACGTAACCTCTCCTAAGTTTGAAAGTTGAAAAGTTTGTGTGTCTGAAACGCTATGTGATACAGTACAGTTTACACAGCACAGTACATGTTCTGTAGCTACTATTGCACTAAATGGTAACACTTGAATACGTTATGCAAATATGCAACTTGTTTGTTGAAATGTTAATAAATGGGAGCTTCCTCAAACAGCCATCTCTTTCCCGACAATCCCCTCTGTGCACGAACCCTTAGATATGGTAATTAAACATTAAAACACCTGCGGCTTATAGTCCAGTGCGGCTTATATATGTACACATCATTCAATTTAGCTGCTGCGGCTTATATTCAGGTGCGCTTTATAGTGCGAAAATTACGGTAGGTCATTTTTGTAATAGAAATAGATCCTGACCCCAGAATTAGGATCCTTAACACAGGACTATCCACATCAAGACGCTTGATCAGGTTTCTCTAAACCTCGTAAAACATAACAAACAAGGTTTCTGAAACCGTAGTCGTGATGTTAACTGTCTCAAAACTAAGAAAACAGACTGACTTGTGAATTTAAACCCTTTTGGTGTTCTTGAGATCATTTTGTTTTATCATCACTCACAATCTGCTCTCATAGTCCCTCCACGCTTTGTCAAAAGGTTTCTTCAGATCCTACAAAGAGACAGAAGAGGAGACAGGATGTTAGGTTCTCTTTTGAGAGGAGGCTGTAATCATTTCAGTTAGGAAGCACCATCCTATAAGAAGTCAAAATTGTAAAAAACGAAACTGTGTTGAAAGGTTTTTTCAGTCAAGTGATATGTACATTAAAAATGAAGTTCTCACCCCCTTCACCTCCCTCAGGTCTCCTTTAACCAGAGAGTCCAGGAAGAAGTTGATGTTGTGGAGCATGCTCTTTAACTGCACACCAAAACACAAAAATACAATTAAAGTAACTTCCCCTGTCAACACAAATAAAAACATGCTAGACAGACCTTGGTAATAAAAGATAACTCCCAGCATGTTGTTAATTGAAAGGTAATATTGAGTGGGCAGGAGACAAACCACCACAACCAGTTAGATGTTAAACAGATGTTTCTCAATGGAGTGTTGAATGGACCAGGTCAAAACTCATTGACAAATTGGGATCAAAATGGTTTTAAATCAGATGTTTTTCCAATTGACGTTCGGAAAGGACCAGAGCCAAATACCTCTGAAGAAGGTCAAGGTTTCCAATTTGATTTTGAATGACTTTCCAAAGTTAAGTAATTAGGTGTTTGAATTGGTGATTTTCCAGGGAAGTCTATAAGGGACTGGAAGGACACAGATGGTGTTTATGTGTAATCAGAGGTTATTCCAATAGAAATTGGAATGTAGCCATTAAGAGCCCGTTGGCTTTAATAGTGGGCTTTAATGTAGTATTGAATAGACAATGAAGGATTAATCAAAGGTTTTTTCAATAAGGGGGTTTCTCAAAAGAGTTAAGAATAGACTAGCTAAAAGACCACTGATTATTGATAAAAATGTCCAAATCAAATGTTTGAATCCAACTGTTAAACTATAATTGTTTTGAACAATAGGTATACCCAATGTAGGATGGAAATTAGCAATTAAGAGTTTTTTAGTTAAAAAGGGCTGGTCCATGCCAGACTCCTTTGAGAAAACATCCAACTAAAACCTTCTGATTGGATCTTAAATTAGGAGCTCTTAAGCTCTTAAGAATTGTTTAGGGAGGGAATTTGTGTTTGTGAGGGAGAGAGGAGTCTACCTTTGGGGGAAAAAACCCATTACCTGCTTTTTTGGTAAGACCTCCTTTATCTAAAGGGAAAACATTGTGTTCTGACGATCATAATAATCGAGCAAGCCAAGCCTGGGTTTTTTAGCTTTAGATACTGTCTGGTAAATTGGATTCCTTCCTCTTTTGTTGGATAATGCAACAGGTATGTTGTTTTCTAAGTCAATTGTGTTTGGGCATTTAAATGCCCAGTAAGTGTAATCCTTTGTTGTGGGGGTTTAATTACAAGCCAAATTGTGAGACTATCCTCTTTTAGCCAACCAAGCGTACCACAGAAGCTCCAGGACTACACTTGCTTCTTAGTTTAAAATGTAAGCTGATGTTAAACTGTATACCGTTTTATATCTTACCAGGTTCTTCATGGGAGAGAGGAGGTCTTTGGAGAAGTCGGCCAGACGGCAGAAAGCTGATCCGACCTCCGTCTCTCCGTTTGAGTGACAGTTCACCGACAGCTTCTCCATCGAGTTAATGTACTGCTCCAGGTGAGAGACATGGTCTGCAGAGAGAGGGTGTTAGTAAAGGAAGTAACAGGTGTGTGTGTGTGTGTGTGTGTGTGTGTGTGTGTGTGTGTGTGTGTGTGTGTGTGTGTGTGTGTGTGTGTGTGTGTGTGTGTGTGTGTGTGTGTGTGTGTGTGTGTGTGTGTGTGTGGGTGTGCGTGCGTGCGTGCTGTGTGCGGTCGTGCGTGCGTGTGTGTGTGTGTGTGTGTGTGTGTACCTTGTCCTGAGGCATATTTGGCTTTAGCAGCTTTCTTCATCTTCTGCAACACCAAGCGGTCACTGTCCAAAACCTGAACACACATACACACGTACATGAATATTTAACAGTTTCATACATTCATGTTTTAATCATCACTCTGGAAAATCTGCTGAACGTGTGTTTGTGTGTATGTGTGTATGTGCGTGTTCATGTAGAAGCCCTAATTCACCTGCTGACTCAACACACACACACACACACACACACACACACACACACACACACACAGAGGACAAGCTTTGTTCTCTGACACAGGCAGCTGCATTCCTGCGTTACACCGAGAGCTCTGTCTTTCTGCGTGAATCAGACTACACACACACACCTTTTTCACAGAGGAGATTTTGCCTTGTCATGGTAGGACGAAGCAAAGAACAAGTATTGCAGTAAGCCATGACAGTGTGACAGTGAGACGATATTACATTTACCAGGGAATAGCATGACCTGAAGCAGCTACATGGGATCTAGCAATCATTAATTACAAATAAAACATCTGGATTGTTTTATGATGTTAACGTCATCTGTGCATCAATGAGATGATTTCATTTCATTTTAGGTATTTAATTCACAGGATTTGAAAGCTCTGTGTGGTTTATCCATAAACCGTTTTTAAAAGGGATAGTTCACCCCGAAATGCAAACAAATGCATATTTTGTCACACACACTCCCACAGGGATGTTAGCCTTTGCAGAACATTTAAATGCACAAAAGCCTAGGCTATATAACACACTACAGGAACGGGAAAACACCAAAACCATAACAGGGCCTCTTTAGGAATATATCAAGGATCAAAGGACTTATTTCTCAATAAGATTTGAAAAAAACGTGTTCATGCATTTGTTTTCTGGAGACCTGTGCCTTCACAGGTCTCCCTAAAAAGAAATTAATTAGACAGCTGCTGCTTGAGTCCTTGCTAACACCAAGAATGTGGATCACATCACTCTGAGGACTTCACTGGCTTCCTCTCTGTGAAATAATTTATTTAAAAATACTGCTACCGGTTTACCAAGCACTGCAGGGCCGAAATAGATGTCAGATCTTCTGCTACATTACAAAGCACTCTCGTGTCTGCCTTCTGTCCCCAGAATCAATACTAAATATAGCGTTAGTTTGTTATGCTCCATATATCTGGAAGAAGCTCAGGTCTGCTCCAACTCTCACATTTTTTTAATCAAGGCTCTTTGTTTACTGCTGCCTTTTACTCTATAAAAGTTTTTCATTTCTTACAACGCACTGTAACTATTATTGTTGTGATTCGAATTTTGGAATCTTACTACACCATAAACATAAGCAAAGAATAACAATATTATCTTGATATTTACAGAACAAGAGAAAAATCCTGTCAATCATATTCTCATTTATTTTTTGATATTGTGCATGACACTAATATTTGATATTTTAATATAAATTGTTGTCGATATACCAGTATATAACAACATACCTTTAGTCTCTTTAATGACTGCTCTTATTGTATTTGAATAAAGCCCTTTTAAATTGCCTTGATGCTGAAAAGCTATACAAATACATTTGCCATTCCCTTTTAGTGTAATTCTTTTCTTTTTTTAAGCAAATTGTAATTCCCAACTTTCTATGCTCCCACGAATGCAGCATCAGCATGCGGGTTAGCAGATGATCTGATATCCTCATTAATAACCATCTCTCTGGCTCCTCCTCATTACCATTAAATACAAAGACAATGAATACTAACGAGGGATAATCTGTTTCCGTGGTTACATATGCCAACACTGTTGGGGGTGAGAAAAAAAAGCGGGGGGGCAGTTGTAGGTTCTTTTTTTTTAGGGCAGTCGAGGATCAAAAGTCTTCGGGTCAATGACTCCACTGACCAATTGTGTGTGTGTGTGTGTGTGTGTGTGTGTGTGTGTGTGTGTGTGTGTGTGTGTGTGTGTGTGTGTGTGTGTGTGTGTGTGTGTGTGTGTGTGTGACACATCTGAAATCTGAACGGCACCTTGCTCAAAACAATGGGTCTAATTTAATTGTAAAACTAATACAAATAGGAAATAATTCAACAACTATTTAAATGATGGATTAATTGTTGAACTATTCAGATAAACAAGAAATCTGAGGATGTGAGCGTGGACTCTGCAAGGCCGGATTAAAGTGAGAGGAGCCCCCCTGAGGCAAAACATTAGCCATGAACATGTCAACCATGAAATCAGCTCTTAGCCAAACATTCACACAGCGACTCAAACCTGGTCCAACTAACTTCTAGACCTGTGAGGATATTCATTAACTTTCTTCTATCATGCTTTTGTTTTCTGGATCAGATATTGTAGGAAATCTATTAAAATACAGTTAAAAGTATTAACGTTTGTTTTGGTCATTGCAGTTTGGGGATTTCCTTGTTGGTTGTTTGTTTGTTGGGATATTTTGTTTTATATTCAAAAGAAGATGGAATTATTTTCAGAAACTAAATATTTTTTGATAAAAAAATGAAATTAAGATAAATCTCAAATGTTACTAAATTCCAAATATTACTTATTGGGGGGCCCTCAGGTAACTTTTGCCCCAGGGCCCCCGAGCATTTCATCCCCCCCCCCCCCCCCCCCTGTCAGTACTGACCTCCTCCAGCAGGTAGACGGTGTTCCTGCAGCTGATCATCTTGGAGGTGAAGGAGGAGGTGGTGGGGGAGCTCCAGTCCTCCTGGACCTCCTGCACGAAGTCTGACACCGACACGCACTCCGGCATGGTGCTGCTGAGCCCGGGACACACCGGGACCACCCGGGCCTCTCAAGTCCGGGACTGACTGATCAATTCCACACAAAAGACCCGTGGAACCAGGAAAAAACCTGTTATTATAAATAATAAAATAATGTGAATTTAAAAACCCACTGTGCAAAGGCGAAATAATCCCATTAGTGATGTTCCCACAGTCCCGTGAAGAACGATTAGCATTAAGATGTAAAATCGGTAATTAAAGACCTGATCCGGTGCTTCCTTCCTCAGTGTGACTTCACCGCAGCATCAGCCTCCTCTTCCTCCAGACAAAAGGTGATCAGATACAGCAGCAAATAAACATTAACAGCAGATTCCGCAGAAAAGCGATGACATTAAAAACAGTCCCGGGTCATAAGAGTGTTAAACGCAACGATGTTTCCCCGGTAGAGCCGCTTTATCCAGGGATGAACCCATGAAACCCGCCCGGGTCTCTCGGTGTGTGAACCGGCTGACAAAGAGCGGAGCAGCAGAGAGGAGAACCGGAACCCTATGCACCGGGACCGGGTTCAGAGGAGGGAATCAAACCGGTGTCTTCTCTCCGCTCCTGTAACAGCTTTATGTCTTTTCATCATCAGCTGATTTCTTTTCCTGCTTTTTTTTTCTTCTTTATTCAAACCGCATGGAGAGGCGCGTTCACGTTGAGCGACGGTGGCGGGGCTCTTTGACGCGGGAGCGCGCAGTGCTGACCGAGCAGAGGTAAACCCCATTACATCAGTGTGTTGTCAACTCATTCATTATTCATGTCAAACCTGCTGAAAAACACATTTCTACTGTAATAGGAAAATCGAGGCTGTTATTGAAATCTGTCTTTCTATAAAAATAAAAATAATTTTTTCAACCAAAAAAGGAAAAGAACAAACAAATAAATACAAATAGGATTCATTTGATAATCTTTTTATTTTATTTTTGAATACATTATTTCGTTTTTTGCTTTGAAAAAAACCATTTAATATTAATTTTATATATTAAAAAGAAAAAAAAGTCTGCACTACAGCAGCATTTGTGAGGCTGAACTTGGACGGAGATTTTAGCTAAATGCTATGCCGATATTAATCAGGTTCTTGCTTTATATATAAATATATTTCCAACGAATAATATATTGTTCCTATTTTTGAACTTATGGACCATAACATGTTTATGTTGCTTACTTGTGAGATATTCTTTTAAACATATTATTGATCATTTTTTGATTCTGCTTCCCTGGAATTATGCAAATAAAAAAACATTAATCTCGAACTTTACCATGTAACATTTGTATAAGGCAATAAACCAAAAGTAGAGCAGAGGATGATGGGAATGATATTAGTTTTGCAGGTTTTTGGATGTCAATAAACGGTATAGACACAATATGAAAAGTTTCTACATATCCTTTGTGTAACAAAGTCGTACAGACTCATCACTAACATGGAAATCCTCTTTTGCATGTAAGTAAATTGAGCTATAATCTTATTTATTTATATGAATAGCTTTCCCTTTTCTCATCAAATGTGCAATACTAATGAATAAACTTACTTGCACTTCATACACACAATCATCTTCTTCATAAATGTATTTAATTCTACATTTTACTTATGTCATTCCATCTTATATCCTATACTGTCATTTTATACTATTTATTTTACATCTAGGGGTCTTATGACAACTACTGCCTTGAGCTCTGGTCCAATACATTTTAGTTTTATTTACCAACATTTGTTTAATATATAGATATACTTGGAAGTGTTTAGGCTACATTCCTCCCGACATGAATGTCGGAAACAAATTCCATAGCTATCCATCCAATCGTTTTTGAGACATTTCATCTAATTCCCCAAATGTAAACCTTATGGCGGCCTTAGACAAAAGGTCAGAGGGTTTATCCTCTGGGGAACATGAATGTCTGTACAGAAATATAACGTAATCCATCCAAAAGTTGTTGAGGCATTTTGGTTTGGATGGGGGTCAATCGTCTGATATTATTTCCCCTCTAGTCTCTGAGGCAATGACCCAGAGTTTGTTTCAGTGTTATCTGGCATCATCAGAGGAAACATTTAGAGCACTTTTCTATAAACAAACCCTTTCTAACTTCCTGTTCATAAGCCTGAAGACCAGCACAAAGTCTTACTTTAATTCCATTCCCCTCACATTCAAAAAGCCAACTGTTTTCTCTCAAAATGTATTTTATTAGGAGAAGTTAGTTTGTTGGCTCTGCTTCCATGAAATATCTTGATTTCTTGATATTAATTAAACATGTGATTTAACTAAGTGTTGTGCGCAGGAGATAAGTACCTCATATGAATATCAAAGATAACTGCTCTTAAATTGAATTGCTCTTGAACCTAGCAAAAAATAAAACGCTTTTGAAATGAAGTCCCACTACAGAGAAGTGGAGGGACCTAGTGGACAAGTCAAATACATGGTGCAATTTACATCGAAAATTAGGGGCATGCGGACTTTCAATGTGGCAAATATTACATTTGTATCTGGTCAAAAGGCTCAAGAGGGAGCACAGTTTGTTTTTCTTTCTTTTTTGTGTGTTTTTTCTCTGTTGTCTAATAATTTTCAGCTAACGTTCATATTGAACAAACTGGTAGAGATTAGAATATGAAATTCAGTCTGAGTCAGTGCAAAGTTAAACAGAAAATATTCATTTTTATTAACTTATTTACCTTCAATATATAAAATGTAATCAACAAAAATAGAGTTTTATACAAGTTAATTATGTTTTATTTCTTTTGAGTGCGACACGGCAAACTGTCTTCAATTTACATGATATAAATATGTGTATTACAATTTGCAGTAATTTGTGTCTATATAAATGAGGATGCTGGGTAATGTAGTGCAGTCAGCGTAAACATAATAAATCATGAGTTTAACTGATCAGACTAAGTAGTGAATGCGATGTACAAGTAACATGTAAAAGTAACATGTAATGTAGATCAGTCCAGGAAACCTGAGACAGGCTTCTTCATCCTTTGATGATGATGGAGGCGATCTGCTGCGGCAGCGTGTAGATGATGAGCCCGAGGAAGAGCGTGAGGATGGCGAGGATGACCAGAGCGATGATGAACTTCTTAAACTTCTTCCAGATGAGGAAGATAAAGGTCTTCATCGGGTTGATGAACCAGGTGAAGCTGATCGAGGGACGACTGCAGGAGAGGACAGGAAACAGTTTAACAGTTTTATTATTATGAATGTGTGTGTGTGTGTGTGTGTGTGTGTGTGTGTGTGTGTGTGTGTGTGTGTGTGTGTGTGTGTGTGTGTGTGTGTGTGTGTGTGTGTGTGTGTGTGTGTGTGTGTGTGTGTGTGTGTGTGTGTGTGTGTGTGTGTGTGTGTGTTTGTGTGTGTGCGTGTGTGTGTGTGTCTCATACTTTGGTTTGTCCAGAGGCTCTGGCTCTTTGCGGGCCCGTCCCACAGGGTTAGCCTCCGCCTGCTCCAATGTTACCAGCTGCAACTCTGCCTCCACCTTCCCCTAAACACACACAAAAACAATTTTATATATACATTCAATCACACACAAAAAATATATAAATTAGATTATGTGAGTGGAAAACCTGATCAAATCAAGTATTCTGATTCAAATCCGTACTTTGTGGAATAGCATTAGCATTATTAGCATATTGTTGTTTTCTCGTACCATTAGCAGGAACGTGCTGCCGCTGCTGTCGGTGAACTGGATGTCCTCCTGTCTCATGGCACTCCTCTTGTCCTTCTTCTTCTTCTTCTTTCCTTTTTTCTTGGCCTCCTCCTTCTCCTTCTCCTCCCTCTCGAAGTCCTCGGCTGTCTTCTGGCGGATCAGCGGCCACCAGCCCTTCATCTTCTTGGCGCGGAAGATGGAGAATCGAGGGCTGGCCCGATCCTTCGCCATCGTGATCGTACACTTAGTGGAGGACTTTGCCGCCCGCACCATGTCGTTCAGACGCAACTCTATGGATCCTGAAGGAGAAAGGATGATGAGGATGAGGATAAGTTGTAGTTTTTTAGAAGACATGGTTGTCATATGAAAATAATTTGCTCTGTAATGATATGGTGAAAATGTTTTTAACCAACTTTTCCCCTGAAAATGAAGAAAAAACTCAGTCTATGTAAAAAACGCACTGAAATGAATTTAAAGGGTCAGTCCACCACAAATAAAAAAAACTTTTAATTGTATTCGTCCATGTTTGAACTGAGATCTTTGTGTTGCTCACAGTGTTAGTTTTTGTTTACATTCATTTAACCTGTCCTTCATCATAAGCCTATTTCAGGAAAGGTACATTTTAAAACATTCTAGACGTTATAGTCTTTTCCGTTGGTGTTTCTCACCCAGAAAGTCATTGGCAGCGATGCGGTCGTAGTCCCAGACCTGCAGCGTCAGAACGGCCGGCTGTCGAAACTCTGACTCCTCCAGAGAGAAGAAGGACTCCTTCTTCTTAAACACCACCTCTTTCTGCCGGGTGAGAGGAGGAGATTTACTCATAACACCCAGATCAGTTTGTTCTTTCTTACAGGGACCACTTTGGAAATATGTCTTAAGTTTTGCTTGTGAAGTATCAAGCATCCTCTTCACTGAGGGGAATATGATCATAACGTTTACTGGATATCTTGAATAAACATTGATATGTTGTGTGGACGACGGAAACGTGACCCTAAAGGTCTAGGATAAACTGGTCAATTCATTATTAAATAATCAAACCAAAGAGGAAACAAGTGTTTTTGTTTCAGCTTATTTAATGGTTTGTTTTTTTAATGCATTTCTCATTTTAAATCATTGTTAACCTAATGCCGTTGGGTTGTGGACTGTCCTGATAAAACAGCACATACGAAAACATGCCCTTGGATACTGTGAAACTATTATGGATGATTTCACAATTCTTTGACTTTAAATAGATAATTCATTTACGCCAGAGCAGGTTGCTATAATCATCAGATTCAGAAGAGAAGTCCTCCATCAGCAGGTGTCTCCAGGTGCATCATGTATATCATTTATTTTGTACCTCTGTAGGAAGGTAGTCGAAGCGAAAGACAAATCTCCAGTTGAAGTTTCCTTCTCCAGTCAGAGAGCTAAAGTGGACGTCAGTCTCCTGTTTTTCCCCGTCAAGTCCTTTTATCCAGCTGCACACAGAACAGATCAGAATAAAGCACTGAGGGGGGAATTCACCAAGACTGGATTGCAAACGCTGATAGTACAATTCAAACCGCAATGTCCCAAGGTCTGATTCACAAAGCATATTGTGTGAGATGTATTACAGCGCAAACACACCATACATTTTTGCAGCTGAGTGCAATTTTCCCTTTCTTGTGCTTGATAGCAATTATCCATGTGACAAAACATAAATGTTTCCTTTGTACAAAGAGCACGGTACGCAGGACAATGGTAATTACATTATTGGAGTGCTAGCTAAATGTCCTGTCCACTGAGGTAGATAGGCATTCTTCAAAACGTAAGAAATGAATTTAAATGTGAAAGACAAAATTAATTTATAATATTAACAAATTAATATCCCAGTCGTACACCTTTAGACTTTTAAAAACATGGCATGATTTAAAGAGCACATATCATTATGCTCATTTTCAGGTTCATATTTGTATTTTGTGCCTCTACTGTGACATATTTCCATGATTTAATGTTCAAAAAGGTCTCCCTCTGGAGGGAAGTCTAGGATTTTAGCCTTTGCAGACCATTTACATGCACAAAAACATATAACACATTACAGGAATGGGAAAACCCAAGGAAGCATACAGTAATAGGGCCCCTTGAAAGCAGGAGGACATAAAATATATATAATTCACTGCACCATTATCAGTTCAAAGTCAGGGCATGAGAGCCATTATAACTGCTCTTTAGTTACCAACAACACTCTGAAGTCACTAATAATCTCACTGCCCATTTTTTATGAAGCTCTTTTGCCCATTTTAAAAAATAATATCTGATTTAAATATGGGCTTATAGAACAGGAGCACCAACACAGCAATTGCTTCGCAGTGCAGTAAGTACTTTTCTTTTTTGTAGTATTTGTGCAGGTTAAGTGGCAGCAAAAGCCGCACATTTGAGAACTGTCATAAAAAATATATCCTTGACAACCCTTCAGAATTATCTTGTGTGTGAATCTAACCCTTTCACGTAGATGTCGGAGGACGGGATGCCGGTGAACGGGTTCACATCGTCCAGAAAGACGTCGTCGGTGTTCCATATGATCACTCGCAGCTCGTACCTGTCGCCAGGAAACAACAAGAAAGGTTACACACTGTATCTCCTTCTCAACTCATTCAGACTCTATTTGACTTTACTGTGTTGACTTACTGTTCAGGTAGGCGTGGTTTGATGTCAACAGGGGGCGGAGCAGGGACATCATTAGGAAACATGTCTACCCACATATGAAGGTAACCCTGCAACACACACACACATTGGCTATTAAGTATATTAATTACATGTTAATAATTGGGTTTGTTGTGACTGTAGTTCTGGTTGTTTACCTGTGGCAGTCCAGGTTTATCTTGGCTCAGCAGAGACCTGATCTCCACGTGCTCTGGCACCAGAGGGACGGCTCCAGGGAGGAACTCGTTCATCTCCCCCCAGCGCTGCAGCACGCTCAGGGCCGCGTGCTCCTCTATCTCTGCCTCCTCCTCTGGAGACCGCTGGTTCTTCTTCAGCAGACCTGACAACAACAACAACAACAACAACAACAGCTGCTGTGTAAGACTCTACTGTTACTGGAGGCTGCTGCAGAATGAGGGAAGCAGTAGAAGTAGCTGCTCCAGGAATAAATCCTAATAAATCCGAAATAGGCTTTTGCAAGACAAAGAGTTTTTTTAATGGGTGCCTGATTAGATTCCTGAAATAAGGACTGTGGTTAACACAAGATTAAGATTGTCATGTTTTGCTCTAAGACATAAAGCATAACAGTTAACTAGCTAGCTAGCTAATTATAAAGCTTCTACAGGCCCTCTTAAAGTTCCCATATTATACTATATTAGATATATATCATGGGACCATATCTATACAAAACATGTCTATGAAGTGTTTTGCTAAAAATACCAAACAGATCACCCATTCATGCCTCATACCCCTCTATTTCAGCCCTGTTACTAAAGTGCTGATTCTGGGTCTGGCCCTTTAAATGTAACCGAGCTGCTGCTGGCCACGCCCCTTTGGAGCTGCTGCTGGCCACGCCCCTTTGGAGCGTCCACATGCAAGCAGTGAGCTCTGTGAAGAGAAGGCTGATAACTCAACAGATTCTTAGCTAAATGCTGCCGTGATTGAACGCCATATTAAGTTCCAAACCACATCAAGGATTATTTCTGAAACAGTATGGAGCTCAAAGGCTTCCTCTCCCGCGGGTTTACCACAAGGTGAGTTCCTTTTACATCCGGCTTCTTTACACATACTCTCTCCAGTACAGCGTTTGCTCTGAGTTTTAGCGATGTTTGCTAATGTAAACACAGACCATATGTCCATCGAAATCAGTCGCATTGACCGAAGACACATTTTGAGTTGTATACACTGTTGGAGAGAGGAGATTCCTAGCTTTCTAATGATATCAGGATTGTTTTTGTACTCCAAATATTAAGCAAAATATGTCACATTATATAATGACTGTCACCGAGTCATCATTTTGAGAAAAAGACCTTTAAAGTTTCCTCTTCTCTGGAATCCATCGATCTGATTGATTATTAGCGGAGCAAATGATCAAAATAGTCCGGAGGGAAAATATTTTTGTTTGGATTACTGGTCTGGGGGAAGCTCGCGAGTGTTTGTGTGTGTATACGTGTGTGTGTGTTTGTGTAATTTTGCGTTTGTGTGTATTGTGTTTGTTTCCCGGGGAAAACACTCACGAGAAACACCGGCTGTTGTTATGCCTGCTGTGACGTCAAGTTACTCCGTTCTCCGCTTGTAATTATGCCGTTACAAGCTTCAAAGTTGTATTTATCATCTGAATTTGCCGAAACAAGTTTAATATTCTGAAAGCCACGACTTTGTTTATTTAAAATCAGATGAAAACAAACTGTAACGGACCCTGCCGTGTTATCTATGATTACTATACGCCTTACATTCATAATTTCAGCCGGAGGGAGGGGGGGGCAGCGCTGCGGAACAGCAGGGTGCGAGTGAGAGCTGTCATCTTCCCTTTACAAGCTTCAAAAATGTATTTATCGTGTGATTTTGGAAATAAAAGTTTCATATTCTGAAAGCCAAGACTTTGTTTATTTAAAATCAAACAAAACACCCGAACTCCGAAAAAATATTTTTTTACGCAAATCCACGTTTATTTTGAAATGAGCCGTTGCGACTTCCGACTGATTACTTCAAAAACACGTCATGCATTTCCGGTATGACGTCATGACCGCAGCAAATCTGGATCAGCTCCGTTGTACCCCCGTTTTATGAGATGTCGGTACGGAGGAAAAGAGAGAGGGTTTTATTTTCTGACACTTTGTGAGTTCCCTGACACACCGGGGACACATATTTATGTATAAAAGACATCAAAAAGTGCATTTTGCATAATAGGTGACCTTTAAAGGCGGTTGCTAACAATTTTCTAAATGAGACAACAGATGTTGTCTAGGGCATTAAACGCCATCACGACTTTACAGCCTGGTGAATTTACTATTTTATTTTACTATTCAAGATTCAAAGGCTTTATTGTCATGTGCACAGTAGCTATACAGTGTAGTTATGGCAATGAAAATCTTCCCAAGCTCCTCCAACAATGCAAAATAGTATAGGACAGTGTAGTAGTTATGGTCTGTCTGTCTGTCTGTCTGTCTGTCTGTCTGTCTGTCTGTCTGTCTGTCTGTCTGTCTGTCTGTCTGTCTGTCTGTCTGTCTGTCTGTCTGTCTGTCTGTCTGTCTGTCTGTCTGTCTGTCTGTCTGTCCTACCTTCAGGTATTGCGTCAGATGGGATCTTGAAGATTTTGTTGAGGACTTTGACCTCTGAGGTCCTGTACTCTGGAGACAGGATGCCGTTCTTGCTGCAGATCTCAGCCAAAACAGCGGACGGCCTTTTAGCATCGCGCCACACATTGTAACCATCACTGCAGAGAGACAGTCCAGAAGAGGGACACACAGAAGACATTTCAATTTCCCAAGGGGATAGCTGAAGTATATCCTTTCTTTTATAAGAGACAGGTACAATACTGATGTTAATCAACTTTTAAATTGTTATGTGCAGCACTTAACTAATGTGGTTATACCTAATTTCACCCCCCAAGACAAATAAAGTATTCTTATTCCGATTGGTAGTACGGTACCACTTTACAATAAGACTACCCTTATAAAGGATTCATAAAGGGTTTATAATTAGGTTATTAATTAGGTTGTAAACACTTTATTAATCATTAAGAACCATTTATAAACCAATTCTAACATAGTTTTCATACATCGACACAGGCTCACTATTTGGCAAGATGACTAAGCCTTATATTGGCTATCTAGCTTACTTCGTCTTCTTCATCAGCCAGCATCCTTGGTATCTGTTGTTCACTGAGTTCATTCCTCCCCCTTCCATCTTGATGTTTCTTGGCATCTCCTTATGACCATTTATTTATGAGTTACTAACATTTATAACTGCCAAAAGGGAGCCTTATTGTAAAACAAATCACCATTTATTAATGAGTTACTACCATTTATAATTAGTTTAAGTTATATTAAGCCTTAAAGTTATGCATAAATTAGGGCGTGGTCACATTGAGTGACAGGTCTGTCCAGTGACTGCTGCTGTTAGCTTTCTGCTCTGCTAGCAGCTACGTGATGCTACAGGGGCTCTGCCTGCTCAACTCATCCGGGGAACATAACTTGAACTCTGCCGTGTTTGTTGTGCTGGTGCCTTGTGGACTATTCTTCATGCTTAGATCGGACTATTGTGACTCGCTCCGCGGTTAAAACAGACGGTGCATGAATGCAGTTATACGGTGAGTGAAATTTGAGTACTTTATTTATGTGTTGCTTGTGTTTTTAGTCAGCTAACGTTAATGAATGTTAAGGCTTGCATGTAGTAAGCAAGTGGTAGCTACATCTATGCTAACGATGCTAATCGTAGCCTCCAAGTTAAAACGTAATAGTTAAGTGTTAAGCATTAAGTGGGATAATACTGTAGAACAAACGGCTTCTGTTTGAGGTTGGTAAAATAAGGTAATCCTTGTAAGTTAGAGGGATATTTTATTAGGTAGGTAACTTTATGCATTGATAAGGTTCATTTCAATTTGCTATGATCGATTATGTAGACAAGCTAACGTCAAAGTAGTGTTGAAGAGTGGCGTAGTGTATGTGAAATTAACCTCACAGTAAGATGTGTGTATACTACAAATATTAATGTCATATTTCAAGATGATGACTTAGATATTACAATATGGTTGGTTGAGCTGGAGTTCATTATTGAGCTTACACGTTAATGTCACAGTCATATCTGAAGAACGAACCCAAACCTTGTTCTTTTTATTAATTGTATTACCAAATTGGTATCAACCATTGGTAACACCAATGCTGATAAAGTAAACTATTTTATTTGAGTATTCCTATGTTCGGCAGTTAGAGATGGGCTTTCTTGTACAAGAGAATACAAAAAACAAAAACAAAAATATGGACCATTACTGTATAATTATCCTTAAATGATGTTATACAATGCACCTAATAAACAAGTATGGCATTTTGAAACATGATGTGCAACAATTTTTACTGTAACGTGTGTGCATTTTGCTGTTAAATAAGATGATGTTATGATTTAATTTTTGTGAGTAAAGAGAGGCGAAGTCCCTCCCTTTCCGGGGGACCTCCATGGGACCTTATTTCGGAAAAAGTATGTATTGAAGTCAATAGAGTGCCACAGTGACGCGTCCTAAAACCCGGAAGTAAACTCCTTCTGGTCATATCATAAATCTATCGATTAGATTTATGATCAGAAAATTATAAAAGTAGGGTAGACATGTGGATATTATCTGGCTGAACAAAACGTGATCTGTCTCTTCAATTTGTGTCAACCACAGACCTTATTTCAAGCTATTTTCCAAAATCCTATGGAGAAATTGCATTGTTTTTTGTCGAAGGAACCGGAAGTGGTAAAATGCTAATTTACTTCCGGGTTTTAGGACGCGTCACTGTGGCACTCTATGGCGAGAGAAAGATTATCTTTCGATCCCGTTTGAATTGTGCCACGAATTACACATAATATGATGTTTGTCAATTTAAAAGATAATTTTGCAAGTAAAAAAAAAAAGAAATGTATCGTAAAACTGTGAAGTAACAGTTTTCTTTGTGTGAAACCGCTCAATGAACTACATCTCCCGTCTCGCACCACACACCAAGACGGCCGTCACGTTGGCACATTTCACTTCTTTCTTTCAGAATGAGGCGAAAAGTATTAAAAGAGGTGAAAATCACTACAAGTCTGGGCATGTTGAGAGCTGTACATACACAAAAGAGGAGTTAGTCGGTTCTGTAAGAGCCAGCATGCGGGACCGGGATTCTGGGATTTGTAGTCTTTCTAGTTGCGTATTTTTCATAGTCTTATATTTCAACAGTTTTACGACAAAACAGTTTTACGACATTTTTTAAGATTGACAAACATCATATCTGTAATTCGTGGCACAATTCAAACGGGATCAAGAGATACGTTGTCTCTCTCCATTGACTTCAATACATACTTTTTCCGAAATAAGGTCCCATGGAGGTCCCCGGAAGGGGAGGGACTTCGCCTCTCTATGCACGTGGACGCTTTGGACATACCTGCAGAACGAAGAAATGGGTCTTCGGAATGATGGGAGTTAAAGACAAAAGCGGAGACTAGTGTTGAAACTAGTGGAGAAACGATCAAGATGCCACCTTGTCCCTCTGATTAGACGGCATGTTAAGTCAGGAAGTAACATTATTAGTGATGAGTGGAGGGCATACAGGAGAGTGCTGAGTAACATGGGGTACAACCACTACACCATAAACCACAGCAGGTGGTGTGTGAACCCCCAGACGGCAGTCATACCCAACATTAGGGATGTCCCGATCCGATCACGTGATCGGGGATCGGAGCCGATCACGTGATTTTCACGTGATCGGGGATCGGGAGAAAAAAATCGGGGATCGGAATTTTTTTTCTTTTTTTTTTTTTTTTTATAAAATATTTTTATACATTTTATTTAATGTTACAAAACAAAAATGACCATGTTCACGTCTTAAAGTCATCCTGAGGCCTTAGTTTTGGGTTAAAATTACACAACATCATGTATGTGTTGCTTCTTTTGGGCTTGTTTTCATAGACCTGGTTGCTTATTTCTCTCAAATCTGGCAACAGAGTGGGCGCAGTGTCTAATAGTAGCAGTAAGCTAACAAGAGGCTACGTTCAGCTGGTGACTCGGGAGTCGGGACAGAGAAAATGTCAGGAGTTTGGAAGTATTATAAAATTGAAAGCGAAGGCAGTGTAACAGCCAGATGCAATGTTTGCAAGGCGGAGGTTCCGCGTGGTGGAAAGAACAGAGCTACGTTCAACATGACCAATCTAATACAAACACCACCAACAACAACACGACGAGTACACAGCGGCCACTCAGGTAACGGCACTGAAACAACCAACACTTTCAGAGACTTTTAAAAGGAAAGAGAAACTACCCCAGAACAGTGAAAAGGCCAAAAAAATAACAGCCAAGATAGCTGAATTCATCGCGTTGGATGACCAGCCGTTATCTGTTACCTTTTTTTTCCTCTTAATGCATTGCATAAAGATCGGATCGGGAAAAATTGGTATCGGCAGATTGTCAAAATCAAATGATCGGAATCGGATCGGGAGCAAAAAAAGGTGATCGGGACATCCCTACCCAACATAATGAAAGTTAGGTCGACCGTCAAAGGACATGTCCGTAGACTGAGAGGAAACCGTACAGAGAGTTTGTTGGAGGAACACCTCAAGGTTCTTGAATGGTCATCTTGGCTTGGCTCTGCTCACCCTGATGGACTGCTTGGACGCTTGTTCAAGGATATACACAAAGCCTTTCCAGTCTGAGTAACATTATGTCTTACCAAGTCTTTCATTTATGAGAAAAGCTTTCATGTTTAAATAGGTTTATAATAATAAATAATATATAATATGTTTATAATAATAACATTTATATTTATAAATAATTATAAATATCAGTCATAAATAGTCATTATTTTGAGTCCTAATTTTCTTCATGTGTGAATAAAATGTTTTGCTTGGTTCTGTTGCATCTTACTTTGCATTTCATGTGAAAAAAGTGTATTAGGTAAGCGTGAATGTTATAACTCATTCATAAATGGACATATGTATTAAACTTAAAAACAACGCACCCTTTCAGTAGTTATAAATGTTAGTGACTCATCAATAGATGGTGATGTGTTTCACACTTTACAATAAGGCTCCCTTTTACCAATTATAAATGTTAGTAACTCATTCATAAATGGTCATAAAGAGATGCCAAGAAACATCAAGATGGAAGGGGGGAGAATCAACTCAGTGAACAACAGATACCAAGGATGCTGGCTGATGAAGAAGACGAAGTAAGCTAAGTAGACAATATAAGGCCTAGCAGCACAGATAAATGTGGGCTCACTATTTGGCAAGCAACCGGTCACAGGTGCCCTGTTTATCTCATGTCTTATAAAAGCTTATAAATGATTTATAAAGTGTTTATAATTAATAATTAATAAATGAATTACAAACTATGCGTAAACCCTTTACTGTATAAGGGTAGTCTTATTGTAAAGTGGTACCGGTAGTACTGTACTCCAATGTTTTTTTAGTATAAATATTCCTACTATTGGTACCTATTGGTTGACATTTCACAGTTTTTACACCAACATGTCATTGTTTATGTTGCAGTTCTGAGAAAACTGTGGTGCAGTTGTGGTACTCACGTGTCGTAATAAAGAGCGAGGCCGCAGGACGGCCGGTGGCGGCTGTAGAACCGGTTCTCCAGGTCCACCCGCGTCTCACCAATCATGTCATTAGCGCCGATAAGATCGTGGTCCATCACCGTGACGACCAACTCCGTCTCCAGTGGGAAAGACACTGTGAGCTCAAACACCCTGAAAGACAGTTTCAGACAGATTTTGGTAAAATGAACTACGACACAGTCAAGTGGACTCCACTACTTCACCTCAAACTAACCACACACTTTGACGTTACAAACCTAAACAGCCTTTTTTCCTGTCACTAGCCAGAGTATTACAATATTTTCAGTTACCTAAAACAACAGTTGGGTGAACACAAAAAGCCAGTGTCCATGTTGACTACGCCTAAAGAAAATGTCATTGAATGAAACTAAACGTAATTGTTTTCAATCAACTTATAGTCCACTAAAACTTGACTAAAAGGAAACTAAGACCTTTGGCAGAGGACTAAGACTAAATAACATAATGAACACAACGACAGACAGTCAGAACGTAAAGCACAGGTGCAGGTGGACGGACAGGGACAGGTGGACAGACAGGTGCAGGTGGACAGACAGGGACAGGTGGACAGACAGGTGCAGGTGGACAGACAGGGACAGGTGGACAGACAGGTGCAGGTGGACAGACAGGGGCAGGTGGACAGACAGGGACAGGTGGACAGACAGGTGGACAGACAAGTACAGGTGGACAGACAGGTGGACAGACAGGTACTGACTCTCCGAACGTTGGGTTCAGCTGTTTGGGGATGTATCGATCAACGGTGTCCAGACTCTGCTTTCCGGCTCGGACCACCAGATACGGGTCGGCCTTACCGTTGGGGTCGGTGGGAGCCAGAGTGGTGGCCTGGAGGACAGGAACAGAGACGGTAAAACACTAACTTCTCCTTTTTAACAATAACTACCAGATAATACATTGGTCAAGGACGAGATGATGACATCCCAGACGTTCCTATCTATATTTACAAGCAATACTGTTGACAAAAAAAGATGGGACTTTAATGTTGTCTACAAATAAAAGAGAAAGAGAAAAAAAAGATTAAAAGAAAAAACCGTATCCTGTTTCATTTGCAAACTATTCAGTGTGAGACTTTGTCTGTGAAAATGTTAACTTTTGCTCTTCTGTTCTGTATGCAGTAGATGCAGCGTCTTGAATACTGACCCAGAGACATGAATTAATGATAACAACTATAACGCGTATGTAGTTCATACAGAGGCATCCGTATTAAGTTGAGACTGCTTAAATCTCCTTGAATTGATCTCAAAGTCTGTGTAAAGGAGATTGTCAAGTGAATTAAAGACAGAGACATAATAAGGACGGGCAGAGAGACCTGCAGTTACCTTGACGATGTAGACTCGGACCAGGACTTTGAGCGGAGAGTTTTTGGGGATCCCGTTAGTGATCTGACATTTTGTGTCTTCTTCATCTCCTGAATCAATCGGGTAAACCAGGAAGGAGCCCTGGGAATGGAAAGCATAGGGAAATGAACACTTCTCTGCAGGGCTATTTGGAAAAAAGAATGCTGATGTTGAAATCGAACCTTACATCACCATTTGAATGCTGCGTTGCTTTGCTTTTTAGTTTTTGAACACATTGATTCTGCAGAGTTACAAATTAAGATGGCTACACTTATATTAATAATATTTTACTATTTGTATAATTAAATTTAAGTTGTGGCATTTGCAGGATGCCTCTGACTTTTCTTTTCCAAACATTTGCAATAACTCCGGAGCATGGTGAAGTCAGAGTCGAATATATTGAAAATTAACTAATGTAATAATTTCCCCATATTACAACATGTCTGTCAATAAAGAAAATATTCAGTTTCTTTCTATATTTGTCGGTGTTTATCCTTTCAGAAACATTCTCACTGCAGTCAAAAACTGTTAGCGCTCCTGCTTGCCGCACAAAGGGATGCACTAGGTTACAAGTTATGTTACTGAAGAAAGTTGATTTAAAGCTAACCAGTTTTATCTGAATGAATGACATTAGGATTGTGTTTGAATATGACAACAGACACTCAAAGCTTTATTCGTAAAAAAAACTCAACATAAGTTTTGAATGTTAAAATATGACATTCAGTTGAGCCCTACTTCTCAGTAAAGTGACAGTCAGAAACACAGCTATACAACCACAGTACCTTGTATTTTCCCATCAGCCTCTCCTCTTCATCCTCCTCGTCACCCTCGATGCTCGCTCTGCCTTTATACAGCGGGAAGATCTGCAGCCAGTCCTGAAACTGACTGAAATCTGACTCCAGATCACCTCCGTACAGCTGAACACAAACAGAGGCAGCGTTTAATAATGAGTACTCAAGTCCTGTCTTTAACAGGAAACTAAATTGAGGATAAGTAGCAGAAAATGGTTTTGGATTTGGATTGTCTTTCCATGGTCCATTTTGGATCATATCCTAAAGTTTTCTCGACAGCAAATCTTTTTGTCTTGGCAGCTTCTTTAAGTAGGAAACGGTGCAATGGTTTTTGTGGATGTATAGAAAGCTTTCTAGCTGTTTTTTGGCTCATTTTGAAAGGTGATGTTTAGGAGAGGTAGGAACTTCCACAATACCTTGCAACATAAAAACATTCCAACATAGTCGCTCACGATTATCACTACAGTTGTAGTGTGGACTCAGAATACCTTAATTCTTCCCACAGAGGGGAAATTGACTCCTTCACATGATTTAGAACCAGGGGCGGACTGGGACTACAAATCAGCCCGGGACTCTCGGTACCGCAAGTAAATTATCAACGGGGGGGGGGGGTGCTAGTGAGTTATCCGAGCGACCCACCTCGGTGCCGCAAGTAAATTATCAACGGGGGGGGGGGTGCTAGTGGCTTATCCAACCGGCCCACATCATCCGACCGGCCCACTTCTGTACCGGCCCATCGGGATTCGTCCCGAACGTCCCGATGGCCAGTCCGCCCCTGTTTAGAACAATGTATAAAACAGTGTATTTAAAATGATCTTTATGGTTATTGTTCTTCAGGTAGGCAGCCATTAAAGGTGGCCTATTATGGTTTTTGTGGTTTTCCCTTTCCTTTAGTGTGTTATAAAGGTTTCTGTGCATGTAAATGGTCTACAAAAGGCTAAAATCCCAAAGTGCCCTCCAGATGGAGTTTTTCTCCCACACACTCCCCCCCTGCCTGAAACACCTTCATTGGACTCCTTTGTTTTCTTCTGTAACATAGTGACATCACTATATCAAATTCACGCTTCTATTGGCAGGCGCTCCAACACATTGAAACGCTAAGCACAAATTCCAAATATGAGCCTGATATGAACATAAGATGTCCTCTTTAAGACCAAGATTCACGCCCTTTTGAGCTCTATTTTGGTCTCCACCAACTTAATCTTTAACTATATAACTTTGTCCGTCTGTAACTTAGTTCCTGACAGGTCGTGAACATTAACTGTATAAAATAGGTTATGTAAGTGGAGTTTATCCAAGCTAATTTAAAGGGGACCTATCATGCAAATTGCACTTTTGTACGTCTTTCATACATGAATATGTGTCCCCGGTGTTCCAGGGAACTCACCAAGTGTCAGAAAACACAACCCTCTCTCTTTTCCTCCATACCCAAATCTCTAAAAACAGGGCTGCAACGGATCTGATCAAAACTGATACAGATTTTAACACTTTATTGACGTCAGGACGGAGGAGTTCCGCCTATATGGCCAACTCTCCACCTATCAGGGGAATGAGAGGTTGCCGTGGCATGGTAACAGCATGGTAACAGCATGGTAACAGCATGGTAACATGACGCTCGTAACTCGGCCCCCTCCTTTGCAGGGGGGCGTGGTCAGCTGCAGCGCATGCAAAGGCAGGGTGGAGGAGAGCAAAATAGAGCGAAATGAGGCATGGCTAAAATGCATGATCTGTTTGGTATTTTGAAAAAGAAAACGTATAAATATACCTTATATAGGTATGGCCCTACAATATATTATTCAAATATAGCATGATAGGTCCACTTTAATGAAAAAACACACTGACAACTCCGGGAGTCCCTAAACCATACAGTAAATGAGCTAAAAACTCAACTAGGAGCTACAGTATAAGAGAGTAAAAAACCCTCTGTCGAGCTGCAGAGTTACCATACACACATTAGATTTGCATAACACATTTGATTCAATGTCTTTGGTTGCAATACATTGTGTTTTATTGCTGACAGACTGAACTTTAAACTGTGAATCTCAGTAACCTCCCACCTTTAATGTGGCAATGTTTTTGCGTTTCGGAGGCTCGATCTCCACCACCACCATATCTTCCTCCTCCTCTTCTTCAATGTTTGCCATGGTCAGATTGCCTGCCTCTGAACCAAAAGAAAACAACACAATCAACACAAACAAACACAACTCTATTCACATTGTTTACAGAATTATTTTTGGGTTGTTATTTCATTTTGTAGTTTGCTATCTTATTGTTCAGAATTTTGTTCAGCTATATGTGCTGCGGCTTGGAAATATTTCAAACAAATTAGCAAAATACACTTTAATTGTGACTATATTAATAAGTAGGAGTTAAAACTGTACCGTTCTCTGCATGTTCCTCCATCTCCTCCTCCTCCCTCTTAGCAGCCTGCACACAGAAAACACATCAGACATGATAAATATAACTATGAATTACTCTTCTTAAAGTGTGTCATTTAATAGATACATGTATTCAATGTAATAAAACAAAAAAAACGTTGTTGTTTAAGTCATAGGTTGTAATTTTCCTAATTCTGCTTTATTGATCTGTCTTGTTTTTGGACAGTTGTTAAAAAATGTTAGTTATGTAATTTGATCGTTTTATTGTAACAATGCGGTAACATAACCAAAAGAAAATCTAACTTGTTTTATCTTTTGTTGTCTGAATTCAGGTTATCTCATCATATTAACTCGTATTTAAAAGAACCACAACTAAATTAAGTTTTGACTACGTCCATTCTCCGTGCACATTGCATATTTAATTCTACAGGTGTTGCTTGCATTTTTACTTCCTTACTAAAGTTACATCTTAAATGTATTCTACATTTTATTCAGCTGACGCTTTTATTCAATGTGAAGTCAAAACAGGTGTGTTTTTATTCTACAACGGAATATGTGTATATCTTCTGCAGTCCTGACTAACCCATGTTTTCACACAGACAGGTAAACAATGTCTCACCTCTCTCTCCATCTCCTCCACAGAAGCGTAGTATTTGGACCACCAGTCCAGCTCCTCCTTCTCCGGCGTCTCCTCCTCCAGCTCCTCGCCTTTCTTCATCAGCTTCTTCAGAGGAGCCTGAAGGGGTTAATTCAAATGAACTCATTCTTTAATCCTTTATGGCTGAATCTAGGTAGAAATGTGTCTTGGTTCCATGTCATCAAACACAAAGACGGGGAGATTATTATACGTACATTTACCAGCTTCATGGGGTTTAAGGGGATCTTTGACTGTTTTATTGACAGGTTGCTGAGTCCCATACGGGTCACTGCATTCAGAGGGTCCATCTTCCTCGTGTTCTGCCTCACTGGAGAGAAAATGAGATAAATGATGTTGATAAATGTTTCCATAAAAACTTTAAATTGACTATGAACGCTAAAGAGCATAGCTCGAGAAACATCCAATCACAAAGCTTCAGAATGAGTCTTGTGGCTGATGGTGGGGGGAAGTAATACATCCATTTTTGTAGAAATTGATACTAGAACTTGGCGGTAAAATACAATGCAAGGAAAAAAAGAAATATAACTAATATGATAAACAGACTACACAATTAAACATTGGCACAATAATGTCATTAAGAAAAACTTAGAACTTGGAATCAATACATGTTAAGGTCAATTTCGGATCAATTCCACTGAAAATAACCATGTTCCAACACAACATAATTGGTGAATTGCAAAATAATGAGCATTTTAAGGGACAGCTGTCCTGTGAAACTTTGATTATCTCCACATATTGTACATTAAACAATGTGATTAAACAAATAACTCCTACTATTTAGTTGACACTACTATTGTATTATGAATATTTATTTATTTATTTGACAGACACAGAGCACAGATTGGAAGCTGTACAAAAGTTAGCTATAATGTAATTTAGTCGCTGGGCAGCAAACATCAAATGAAATTAGGTAAACGTACAGTGTAAAAGCACAAATAAAAGGCATTACATAACATTTGTTAACAACAAAACAAATGTTAAACAAAATTGTGTTCAAAACCAATGACTCCAATCATCTCATGGACTTCCTCCATTACTTCTTTCACAGCTCTCACCTTTTGGTTTTGGCTCGTCATCTTCCTCCTCTTCCTCCCCCCCAAGCTCTCGCGGGGCGTAGTCCATGAGGCTCTGGACCACGTGGGTCCCCACCAGAGCCATCCGACCGAAGGCCCGATGCTCCACCACGAACACCGTCAGAGGGGGGTGGAGGTAGGCCTGCTCCGGCAGCTCCTGGATGGAGTATTTACAGGAAGAGGAAGGAGGAGGTTAGCTCTGCTCTGTAGGGACTGGATACACTAGGGCAGCGGTCCAATATTAAAACATTTAAAATAAATCACATCCCATGTATTTTGCAAACCGCTTTTCCTTGACCTAATGGACAACCCAAATAATAGTTAATTGCCAAGGATGGTATTTAAATACACAACTGAATATAAGAAGGAAATGTTTATAACATCGAGAATGGTGTCTCTACTCCAGTCCTCTCGTATTTTGAGACATGCATCCAAATAATGAGTATGATTTTCTGGAAATGATTGTCATAACGTGTTGTCAGTTGTTCGTGTGTTTTCAAGAATGACGGAATGGTGTGTTGCTGGTTGCTTTGAATGTCGCTACTGCAAGGAATTGTGGGACATCATTAGAGTTACTGCAGGGGGCCACAACATATTAGTTTTAGGTTTTGAAAGTTGTTCTTTCTTTAAAAAAATGTAATATGTCCAAAAATATGCATGAACAAGGATCTGACATATTATTAGTGAAGACGAATCAAGCTATTGTTTATAAAAACTCAGGAACAAGAATGGCCAATAAATACCTCATTGTAGGCGTAATTCAAAATGCTTCTGGGTCATTTCACTCAGTAATTAACCTTTCTAAAGAAAATACATTATTGGAGTGTAAAAAGCTTAAACAGTTTTCAGTAACCATCACTGACTGACCACGTCGATATAGCGGACCAGCTCTTTGAAGTTGGGGTGAGTGCTGTAGCTCTCGATCTCCTCAGAATCCAGCTGTCGCCCTGCACACTCCACCCTCACCAGGGGGCGCTCCACCTCAAAAAGCTGCACTCGCTTCAGGTCCCGCAGACCCCAGAACAGCACCTGAACACACACACACACACACACAAACACAGTGACTTCACAGATCAAAGTCAGAAAAACACTTGAATATAATCGATGTGTGTGTGTGTGTGTGTGTGTGTGTGTGTGTGTGTGTGTGTGTGTGTGTGTGTGTGTGTGTGTGTGTGTGTGTGTGTGTGTGTGTGTGTGTGTGTGTGTGTGTGTGTGTGTGTGTGTGTGTGTGTGGTACCTCAATCCTAAAGGTCTTCAGGACAGGCCGGACCCCCTCTGGGATGTTGTAATATCTCTGCTCCTGCAGGTAGGTCAGCTCCTGAGGGTCCACGCTGCTGGGGACGCGGGGCTGCAGGGGGGATATGTTTCACCAGTTCACTATCTAGATTAATTCATGCACACTACTTTTTTGTTTTTTTGTTAAAGGATCATTCCAGGTTTTGTACAACTCTTCATCGTGCCTATCCCACTAATTTAATAGCAGCAGTTTTTGTTTATATCATCTTAACCACTTTAAAGGTGGGGTCGGTCATTTTGGAGAAACCAGCTCGAGATCGCTAGAATTTGAAAATACACAGCCGGAAAAAATCTGCCACTTCCTTACAGAGCCCCTCCTCCAACACACACGAACGCGCACATGACCAATGAGGACACGAGATAAGTTTGTGCACAGGTGGAAGGCTGACAGGCAGGTAGGCCATCCAGTTACTTTAGCCGGGCCGGCTAAAATGATTGGTCGTGCTTTTTACAGTACTTCTGCTTCCACAGATGACATTTTTTCATGGATTTTTTGTCAAAGCACTTAAGATATTCATTGCTATCGGGATGTTTAGAGCATTCCATGGAATATAACAAAAAGTGTATCTCGAGCCGGTTTCTCAAACTTACCTACCCCACCTTTAATTGGAGGTCAAATTAATTGGTGAAAACGTTTATATCCCTAAATGCACAGGAAAATGTAAGGACAGTAGGCCAAAGCTAAAACTGAATGTGGGTCTGTAAACATCGAGAGATGTTTATGACTCTTTGGGTAACACATTTTCCATTCACCTTCCTTTTCTCTTCCAAATACGTTTGTTTAACCTGAGAGACACATCATTTGGAAAACTGTTTTTTTAACCAAACAAGTACTTTCAAAATTATTCAATTAATTCCTCCAAACAAGCATTTATAACTTGAATTGCCTCAATTAGTAGGGTCTACTTATAAAAAAAAATAAGTAAAAGTAAAATCTCACAGATTCTTTGCTTAAACTCTGTTGAACTTTGACACAGGAACATTTAACAAAATCATTGTGTCCTCAGCATAAAAGCGAGAGGCCAAGAGTCCGAGAGGGGTCTGCCTGCAGGCCTCCACTCTCAGGACAGTTCCGGTGTAGGCTCCACTGTCAGGACACCTCCACTCTCAGTACAGGAAGTGACGATTCTGACGAACATGTTTTTTTCCCCGCCCCCCGAAGGACTCGTCTGATGAAAGTTTTCAAATCACAATGGAGACTCATCATGCACTTTGGGTCAGCCTTGGTCAAGCCCTTTTGACCCCCCAAGCCTGGTTCTCGTAAAAGTTGACTTAGCCATTTTTCGCTCAAATGACACCATGGAGGAATGTAACGGGAGTTGACAGGGGACTCTGCCCACCTCACGAGTGCCTCACTCACGAGTGTACAGAAAGAAGGCTGAGGGGTGTGGGGGGGGAGATACTAGGCTCAATCCTCTCAATTTCATCTAGAAGGAGCAACTCTTCAGGTGTGATCAAACCTCTTTTAAGTGTGTTCCCAGATATTAGTTAAAACTGTTTAATTATCACTGATAGAAATGATGGTCGATTAAGGAGGTCAGAAAGACATTGATAGATTGACAGGTGTCACCTCTCCAAAGCTGGAGTAGTCCAGCTCGATGAGCTCGAAGGCAGCCAGCAGCTCTCCGGCGGGGGCTCTGCCCATGCTGATGTCAAAGAAACGGAGGTGGGGCTTCTTATAGTACTGCTCCACAGTTTTAAACTCCGGCTCTGCAAACGCACGACCCAGAGGCTTTGGACTGCCCTGCACACACACACACACACACACACACACACACACACACACACACACACACACACACACACACACACACACACACACACACACACACACACACACACACACACACACACACACACACACACACACACACACACACACACACACACACCACACACACACACACACACACACACACACACACACACACACACACACACACAGGTTGTTATGGCATTACTTCCTGAAGGTGCTGGGATAGCAGTATAATTAAGAGACAAAGTCCCACCCCTTCTGTTGGTCCACATGGGAACTTGTTTTGTTAGAAATATGTACAAAAACATTTTTTTATTTGAAATGTGTAATTCATAGCACTATTCAAACACGTTATACAATTTTTTTTTCATTTGCCAACCGTAGAAGAAGAAAAAGGCAAGTGTTACCATGGCGTCCTGGTCGTAGATGTTGATGGTGATAAGGGGAGGGTCTTGTTCGAGCTCCTCCCTCGTACCCTCAAGCAGAACTCTGTCAAACAACAAACTTTCACACCATGCAGGAGAGATCGTATCATTTAAAACCTGAACACAAACAAACAAACACACACACACACACACACACACACCACACACACACACACACACACACACACACACACACACACACACACACACACACACACACACACACACACACACACAAACGATATATATTAAATGTGATTTAAAGGGCAACTCTTCAGTTAACTGCACAAGTCCTACATGTGAAACAGTTGTATAATATTTTCCGTGGGCTTTGACATTTAACATGTGTAATGTACATATTAGATGGAGGTTAAAGTTTAAAAGACATTGGTCTATGCAGTAAGTGATAAGCAAGATGCTATCCCATTGAATTAGCGGAAATTGTCTTTGGAGTTCAATTAAATGTCATCATTTAATATGCCCATTCATTGGATAGCTGTACCTACCCTGGTGACTTGGCATTGAGTAGAAAAGAGAACCTTGGCAAAAGGATCTGATAGGCCGTTATCATCAGCAGCTATCAGGCCACGCCCCTGATACATGTGACATCGTAGCTGGAAGTACCTGCTGTCTACAGAGAGAGAGAGAGAGAGAGAGAGAGAGAGAGAGAGAGAGAGAGAGAAGAGTGACATCAGTGCTGTTGATTCCAGGTAAAGCTTTATTATGACCAAGTGGAAATAAAGAAACAAGAAGTGTCTGTACAGAAGCCACACTGCCCGTTGACTCACCTTGGCAGGACAGACTGACAGGAAGCTTCATCCTCCCTGCAGGGACCAGCCTCCTCTGCTCCTCGTCCTCTTCCTTGTAGATCGGCAGAAACTCCTCCGGCAAACAGTTGGTGGCCTCTTTACTGTACTTGGCCAGGCCGAGCCACATGAAAACCTCCAGCTTTGCAAAGATCTCACTTGCCGAACCATCCGGAGACTAAATAGACATGCAGAGAGAGAGCCAGAGAGATTTAGAGACTGACTGTTGAGCACCATCCAGGACATCAGTGTTAGAACTGTTACCTTCATGTAGAGGGTGGTGACCTTGCCACAGTCCCGCCCCCTTTGCTCCTCCACCAATGAAAAGAGGATGGAGTATGCAGGGATCCTGACGTAGGCCAATCGCTTGCTTCCACTCAGTAACCACAGAAATGCGTCCGGGATGGTAGTCTGGGGCTGGAAAGAGAGAGGTGTGGGGTAGGGGGTTTCAGACCTCAGATTAACTAAACATACTGCTAACATCTTTGTAGTGGTCACTTAATAACTTCTGACTTCTTTAGCCAGCAGGCGGAGTTTCCTCAGGAGTTTCCTGCTTTCCATCAAACGCTGTTTTGCCGTCCTCCTTGTGACCCTTCTCCTGGCCCTCACAGCTTGTCTAGCAACAAGGACCTTAAGATAGGTATACATGATGAAAACAGATGGTAAACTGCATGAACTGCATTTATAAAGTGTTTTCCTGTAAGCTTTCACTCATAGCACTTAACAATATCAGGCAGCATTCACCTGTTCACACACATTCAAACAGAGACAGAGGCTGCCATACAACGTGTCACCTGCTCATCAGCTGTGATGAACACTAACACACATTCACACACCATTGGCGAAGCCATTGGGGGAAATTTGGGGTTCAATATCTTGCCCAAGGACACTTGCATCTTGACTTCAAGGACCTCCAACCGACAAAAAAGACAGCCAGACACAGAAGCAAGTAATGAATTGGCAGGAAGATTGTGGCATGTATTAAGTGAGGACAGACTAACCAAATGTTTCTTGATGAAGTCCTTCCTGCATCGGTCCAGGTTGTTGGGTCGAGACTGAGACCTCCTGTCTGAGAAAACACTAAACTGTCTGCATTGAGAGAGACAAGAAGACGGACAGGCATCAACGCAAATCAAACCAAACTAAATCTATTCTAATCTACTTTTTCCAAAGGAGGAGACTGACTTGCAGGAGGCCACCAGCTCCAGCAGCACCTCCACCAAACGGCCTTTAGCGTTACTTCTCGGCCTCCTCAAGAGACGTTCCACCCCATCAAGACCAATCTCCTACAAGAGGAGAGGATGACATGTGACCAGTTCATATGCATTGTGTGATAGACACTGTGTAAATAAAAGGAAATAAACGATCACTTGACTCTCACCAGTCGGTCAGCTGTCTTGTTGAGCCAGTTGGCCTGATAGAGACGAAAGCTGTGATCTTCAAACTGACTCCAGACAAACAGACAAGGCTTCTGTTTCTCGGAGGGGGGCTGGAGAGGAAGACATTGGAACGACCTGAGAGTCAGACAGACAGACAGACAGACAGACAGACAGACAGACAGACAGACAGACAGACAGACAGACAGACAGACAGACAGACCGACCGACAGGCAGACAGGTAGACAGACAGGCAGACAGGTAGACAGGGGGAGAGACAGACAGGTAGACAGACAGGCAGACAGGTAGACAGGGGAAGAGACAGACAGGTAGACAGGTAGACAGGTAGACAGGGGGAGAGACAGACAGGGGGAGAGACAGACAGGGGGAGAGACACAGACAGTCAATCATACAGCAAGTGGCTGTGTGCAGTAATCATTGTGGGGGTAAGTATAGTAACCCCTCCAATAATTGTCAGCTTTTATTGGTAAATGGACTGCAGAGTGCTGTATCATTTTGCCTCCACACACCCATTCACACATTGATGGCTGCAAGCTACCCTTAAATGCACTGGCATTGATATCGGCAACAAACAGGGTTCAGTGAACTGCTCAAGGACATTTTCCTTAATAAGCCTCTACTTTAATGGCTGAACAAAAACCAATGGAGAGTTGTGTGTCCCTGTGACAGTAGGAGCTGTGATGATAGGAGCAGTGCCTTCTGGTAGGACCTCCAAAGGCAAATTGGTGTCATATATGAGGCCATAACTAAGAGCAATTCAAGAGCACCTAACAAATTAGGGTCTTGAGGATTTTTGGATTCTATGGTTAACATATGGATCCTGGCCTGGTAGCACCTCTACATTAGGGTTTAATATGACGTGGTCTGAGGTCATGGAGACATGGAAACATACTGGGTCATGTCCAAAGCTTCCATTGAGGAGGCAGTTACACAACGGTAAAGAAAGCTGCCACAGCAAAGGCTGGTAGACAGGTATGTCCTGCAGAGTCCAGTGTGGGAGAGGTTCTGACCAACATTTCAAGAAGCAGAAACAGGGGTTAGGTAGGAGGACCCTGATGGGGATAGTGTTGGGCAGGGGAAGGAACACTTGAAATGCTGTCACAGTCTGCTTCCTCTCCTTACCTGCTGCACTCAGTACTTTTCCACAACCCCATCTCCAGCTCTCATGCAAGACTCGCCAGCACTTCATTCCGGATTGACTTCCTGTTGCCGACCCTGCCTTCCTCAGCTCATCCCCGGAAAACCTACCAGCCTTCTGCCCCTGGTCTTACAATCTGCCTCAGCGTCTCTGGTTCCTGTCTTTCTGTGGCTGTTTGGTGTTGGTGTTTTTTTGCATCGAGCAATTATCTTGGTTTCCCGATCCTCTGCCTGGCCCCGACCAACCCTGCTCCCTACTGGTTTGTTCTGCTTGGACTTTTTTGTTTTTCTGTGCTCAATACCTGCCCTGCTCTGTAACAGCTGAGTTTCAAATTAGACTTCATTACGAACTGTTCCCAGTTTCCTGTGTGCTGCATTTGGGTTCCGACGCCCTCCGTTACACATGCCTTCTGTGGTGGAGGCCGGGTTTGTAGAACTATAGGAAATCGTGTGGTGCAAGTTACGTATCTTCTGAGAAGTTGCAAAACACATTAGGGGGGCTAACTATCCCATCTGACCTGGCAAAGTTTTGGGATCACCCAAAGGTAGCTGAGATGATGGGGCTGGGGAAAAGGATATCTTTTATTTGCTGCCATGCCTCAAAAAGGGATGGAAAACAGATTTTGGATCAAGTAGTGTTGGTAGGGGATAAAGTTACGTGTAGTGGTCACCTACCTGTCGTACTCGGTGGGCTGGGGTCTTGCAGGAGCAGTCACAGATCTGTTTTCAGATTCAGGACTCAGCAGATCCTCTCTGTCCAGCTCATCCTCAGACTCCAGCAGACCCTGCGCCTCCTCATTCAGATCCTCCTTACTCCTCCTCAGATCGTCCCTGCTCCTCCTCAGCTCCTCCCTGCTCTGGCTCTTCTTTGACTTCCCAACCCCCAAAACCTTCCCATAATTCCCTGCCAAAAACAGAACAGCTGATTGACGATTGATGTTGGACATACTTTGTCTTTTCGCACTGTTGGTCTGACATTTTTAGAATGTTAATTGCTCAGTGTAAATTGGATATTATTTTTGACTTAATGTATTAATAAGTACTGAGAATTGGACATAGAATAAAATGTTTACCTATTGAGAGTTCGAATGTCATTGGTCTGGTTCCTACAGACGGGTCCATCATAGTGACCTCAAACAGAGACGCGAACAACAGAAATTCTTCCGTGCGACCCAGGAAACCCTGAGGACAAAAAACAAGACAATACTGAGAGCTGCAGGATGTCACCTATCTGTTATCTACCTGGGACACCTCCTCATCTGCAACTCTGTTTCATGCGGTGAAGTTGAGTCCTGGTTTCTCCTTGTTTGTATGTACATCCATACACTTTGGTCAGGCATTAACACGTTTTAAGAATATTGCTAGTTTATTCTATGCAGATGATGATGAAATAAATGTTGGGGAGGAGAGGCAAAAATGAGCAAAAGACAATTAGAGAAAGAAGGGTAGTAATAAATAAAAGCAAAAAGAAGCTAAAACAATGTTTTCTTTCATTCCAAATTGTTAATTTGAGTTGAAATTATTCTGAAATATTTGTTCTGAATTCTGAAATATAAGATTTTAAAGTATTTATTGTTATTAGTGACTGCTAGGTCTCTTGGGTTCTTATATTTATATTGACCTTTTTTACTGCTGCTACTTATTTTTACCATGTTGTGTTTTAATATTTTATTACACATATTTGGCCTCTTTATCATCAATATTTAATATGCGAGCATACTTAGCCTTTCATCTGTACTGTCCCTGTACATTTCAACACTGTGGGACCAATTAAGGATTTCTGAATCTGATTTTGATATCGAGTGTATCAGACCCAGTTTAACAGCTGTGTTTGCCAACAATTCCATGTTTATTGTTTATGCACATTATGATATGTTTATGTTCATGACAATAATTTAAGGGTGGTATCTTCTGAGGAAGTGTGTGAATTTATTTTTGCTATATTTAGCGACCATACAGTAGGAGCTAGTGATGCCTGCTGCTTTAATTGGAAAAGGGTTTTTGACACTGGGGTTTTCCACTTGTATAATGTCATAATCTACTGTACTCTTGCTAGCTCTTCTAGATTACCCAAACTAGCTTTAGAAGGCGGTGGTGGCAGCACTGACCTCAGGAAGTGGATGGGTCTCCTCGACCTCCACAGTTACAGCTTCTGGTACCTCAACTCCTGCATCTCCTGACTCCTCAACCAATCCGCTAGAAGACGCTACTGCAACAAGGAAGAAAAACAATGTATAAACTACAAATACATGTGGGGTTCTCCCAACCAGGACATACCTAAAAGACCATGGGGAACGACTTGTGTGGGTCAGACTCAGTAGACAGACCTTCCTTATTCTTCTCCCTCTTGCTTTTCTTCTTCAGGCCCAGCTTCCCAAATGCTCCTTTAACCTTCAAGGACATAAAAGAGTCAGTGAGATGAGAAGAGATGATTGCTAAGCTCAGTTCAGTATCATTAAGGTCAAATATTATGTGGTTTGATATAGTGGTTGCCAAAGTAAAAACATCCTGCCTTAGATGAAACATGCAACCGGAAATGGATGCCACAAAACTGATGTTTTGTTCTCGTTTAAAGGACAAAATTGGCTAATGTACTGCATATCAGTGGCGTAACAAGGTTGTGATTGGCCCTGGTGCAAATATTTTTTTGGGCCCCCCCCCCCCCAAGCAAGGACACACACAACCACTCAGAAGCGCCAACCAGTGGTGTAGTTGGGATTTTTTTACTAGGTGGACGCTATTTTAATTAGGTCATCCCAAACAATACCACAAGTGCGCACGCGCGCAGTGCACTCACAAAACGGGCAGACAGGTCCACAGAAACTACCGGTATGCTTAGTCCTACTTTAGTTACTGTACTGCAAAAAGCAGACGGCGCTGCGCTCAACACACACAGACTCAAAACCATGGACACACAGGCATATAAGTTACATAAACAATTTATAGGCCTAAGTTGCATAAATGCTCGAGCTACAGTATTGCAACTAAGCAGACAGCGCTGCGTCTCTCTCTCTCTCTCTCTCTCTCCACTTTCAAAATCTATTTAAAACTCATAACAAACAAACAAAATTCCCAAACTTGTCCTGAAATTAACTTATTAAATAAACGAAACGAAAAATATAGCCTACTTATGCAAACAACATTGAATCTGGACTTGAAATAATTCTGATTAGGCCTAGCCTACATCCATGGCGAATAAACGGATCTTGTATGCACACCGCTTCGGCATTATTCCTGGCGCGCGCGCTCTCTCTCTCTTTCTCTCACCCTCTCACTCTCACTCTCACTCACACACACACAGTGCTGCCCCTCACACACACAGGCTTCAAATCAAGTTGTCATTATTACAACAAATACACACTTGCAACTGATAGCACTGGCAATGATTTTATATTTATTAGACTATTAAAAAAAAATCATGCTTCAAAAAACAACGGCACAGCGAACTAATCACACAATCACAGAAGTAATCATTCTTCATCATGGCACAGCGGCCAAACGTTATCACAGACACAGGTTACATAGGTGCGCACCATGCGCATTTTCCAACATAAGAGAGGTCACAATTACATTGCGACAGATTTAAATCTCCGATCCCTCTCCATAACAAGAGAAAAGCTACACTCACCATTATTCAGCCATTATTATTAAAAGTTAATCTTGCGGCCTTGCGCTCAGCAAAGTCGTCAACAATGCTGCTCAGGTCTAACTTCTGTTCTCTATTGAGAGTGTTGCCAATCCACTGAGTCGTTCTTGTCCCATGCTGCTTCTTAAATACGTCTTAATCAATTTCAGCTTTGAGAATGAGCGTTCTGCGGTCGCAACAGTGACAGGTATGGTCATTCATGTTTTCCAGTATTTTAGTCTGTCTAATTTTGTCAGTTTAGCCTTTACATCTCCTTGTTCTCTCTTGTCCTTTCTCTTTTGAGCGCCGCTCTTGTCTTTTGGTTTGCTGTACATTATAAATGCAAGCTATTCAATTTGTTATAATGCTGCCGAACTTGCTGCTGCTATAGCTATATTATAGTACCTATAACTTTTGATGTTGATTAAACGGTTCGCTCATCACGCAAGGTATCGCATGACATGAAAGGGAGCAAGGTCATTGGACAGACAAATTACAAATTAATTTAGGTTGCTTGGTTACTTTGAAGACTGCGTGAACCAGTCAATGCCATTGGGGCCCCAAAAAATATCATTAGAGCCCCAAAAAAGAATATATATATGTTTTCTTTTTTGCATGGGCCCCTGGCCGGCTCTGGGGCCCCGGTGCAATGCACCGGCTGCACCGTCGATAGTTACGCCACTGCTGCATATACATAATCAAACTGAATGTACCACATACTGTACTGCCTGGAAATTAACGTTTAAGTATGCTATCACCAGCTGACTGTTTAAACTTAAGTAACCTCCGACAAAACGTCTTTTCTGCCTAACATTACATTATCGATCACAAAGTTACCTGTCTGAGCTGAATGAAGATAGTTGGCACCTAATTGCTTAAATTCACTAAATTTCACGTTTTTTTGTATTATTCTGTTAAATATGTCTGTAATCAATATTTTTGCTACAGTCCATTTTATTTGTAAGCTTTGTGTATTTTATAATTTACACCAGTTGCCATCATCCATAATATTTGTATTTCAAACTGTTAATTATTCAAAATTCAAGACCCCGAAAACCGCCATTTGACAGTCTGCAGTATTCAATGCTTTTTTTAAAGAATTCTTATGCTCAGATATTGTCGCTTATCGGATATACCTGTGGGCTTTTCTTGCATACAGAAAATCTGCATACTATGCAGCAGGAACGCACTACGTATAATCTACATTCTTACTATGAATATAAGGTTGGGATTTTGGATTGACCCTCTGAGGTTACTCTTATTTAAAAACAGTAAGCAGGAGTTACCTTCCCCAAAGCGGCAGAGGGTTTATCTGGTGCTATGGCAGCAGGGGAGGTGTACACCTCCACAGAGAGAGCCAGGAGGATTCGACCGCGGTAGAAGATGCCATCACCCCAACCCTGGTTTAAAGCCTGGAAGAGAGAGTTCAGTCAGGAAAAAAAATGTTTATACAAATGAGTTAAACTGGGATGTAGAATTACAGGCTGCAAACAAACCCCGCTGTCCCCACTATCACCATGACACAACAGTCCCAGACTTAAGCGGACTGAAAAGGACAGCTAATGATTTGTGGAGTAAAAATTCCGCATTTTTGGGCAATACTTTTATTCACTCTCTTGGCAAGAGTTACAGGAGAAGATTGATAACATTCTGTACGGTCAATATGAAGTCAGTAGCTACAAACAAACTTGCTATGCCTTTTTTTTGTATCTGTACAACATACTGTAGTGTAAAACATTCTAGTTGTGTTTCCATCAGAGGGTTATGTGCTGAATTATTTCTTGGCTTGGATGAACTGAGTTCTGCAGACATGAGAGTATGTAAATGTCGGATTGAATTGTCGTATCTGGTTTACCTGGTGGATGTCTCCGAGGGTGGAGTTCTGAGGGGAACCGTACAGGTTCACCCAGCATGGGCCAAAGGTCGGGTTAAACCCTGCACACAGAAAGATGTTTTCTTAATCATGTAAATTCTTTAAAACAGCTCTGTTCAGAGAAACACAAGTAAAAGCTGATCTATCGGAAAAGCTCAAAATAAACATTTCAATTTCATTTAAAAAAAGTTACAGATGCCCCCACCTAGGTTTTCCCCCTGCAAGTTGAAGGACAAGTCACAGCCAACAAACAGCTGATATACAGTATGTCCTACCCCTCGGATAAAAACACATTTTATCCTGAAACTAACAAAATGAACATTCACTGATTCCAGTTTCAATTGTTCTCCTCTGGCAGGAAATAAAACCTCAACCTCTTAATATCTCCCATAGGTACTATGCATTAAATTATTGCATTGGGGAACTATGTCTGTAAACAAGCTTTTTCTCCTACTCCATACTGTGAGCCTCTGCACATTACTCTGACAATGTTGCACAAAACTTTAAAACTGCACTGCTCTTCGACTTTAATTCAGATATACTGTACATGTTTTCTTAACAATAGTTCTTCTTAATGTCTTTTTATCTTTTTTTTTTCTTTTTTCAATTTTCTTTTTTCTTTATTTATCTATTGTATTTCCTCTTACTGGGTTTATGTCCTTAAAATTAAGCACGAATATATTGTATTCAAATAAATTAGAATATAGGGCTTTCTCTAATTTAAGACTGTGTCAGATAAATAACTTTCTCTAAGAAGGTGTGGTGTCTGATGTTTATTATAGTACCATTCTATTAAAAATGTAAACATTGGGTTTATACCGTTCCTGGTGGGGTCAGAAATCTGCTGCAGGTCCAGGAAGTGCGTTGCCAGGGCGATGTCTCCCATCTTGGCGTCATCAAGGACCTGGACTCTGATTCGCTGAGCCAGAGGAGGAAACTGCTCGATGAAGGAGATTTCTTCGTTCCAAACGGGAGAGCTGGTGGCGCTGGCGACCGACGTCTCCCCCTGATTGAAAAAATACTGCTTATTTCTGTGTGTTTCCAACACATTTAAAGAACCTGTAAGAATTGGATACTTGAAGTTGAAGTATTATTATATATTTTTCTTGCAACCAAATTGCACCACTTGCACAATTTGTATTTCTTTTTTTCCTTTTATGTTTTAGGTGTATTATATTGCATTGTTGGGGGAGCCTGGGACTTAAAGGTGGGGTATGTAATTTTGGAGAAACCAGCTCGAGTGCGCTAGAATTTGAAAGTACACAACCGGAAAATATCTGCCTCTTCCTTCAGACTTCCTTACAGAGCCCCTCCTCCAACACACACGAACGCGCACATGACCAATGAGGGCACGAGATAAGTTTGTGTACAGATGGAAGGCTGACAGGCAGGTAGGCCATCCAGTTATTTTAGGGTGATTGGTTGTGCTTTTTACAGCGCCACGGCTTCCACAGATGACATTTTTTATGTATTTATTGTCAAAGCATTTAATGTATTCATTGCTATCGGGATGTTAAGAGCATTCCATGGAATATAACAAAAAGTGTTTCTGAAATAAATTACATACCCCACCTTTAAGTAAGATTTTGGATGCAGAAACTTAACTTATAATTGATTATTTCAAAATGGTTGTAATAGTACTTTTACTTAAGAAATGGATCTGAGTACTCTTTTCTCAAATGTGAGTGACGTCCAGCCATGTGTGCTCCATCCTGAGTTCCCCCTAAAAGCAAAGAGCTTTCTAGGGGCTCAAAATAAAGTACAGGAATTAAGTTTCTGAGTTCTTTAAAAGGTACTTAGAGGAGAAAAAATCTACAACAATTGGTTTTGACTCAGTACCTGTTGTCCAGCGAAGGTCACTTGAACGTATGGGTCAATGAAGACTGTGCGGTCAGTGGCCTTCGACATCTTGGCCATAAGCCCCGCCTCCATGGTGGGCAGACCCTCGGCTCGGTAGATCCGGACACGGAACCGAGCCCACGGACGCTCAGAAGCCATTCCACGAGGAAGCAGCAGGTTCCTGCAAGGAAAACAACGTCAGAACCCAGAGCCAATCACAGCTGCATCTCACACTTTAGATAATACGTACACTGAAAAAACGAAGCGCTGACTTTAATTAAATGTATTATGTCAACAGATTTCACATAACTGTATAAGCTTAGTTGAAAGCAATAATATCAAGTTTGAATAGAAAATATTAGGTTCAACTTAATATTATTGCTTTCAACTCACCTAAAAACAGTTATGTGAAATCTGTTGACATAATACATTTAATTAAAGTCAACACTTTAGTTTATTCAGTGTAGTCGTGTAATAAGTGGGATAATAGAGAGAGAAGAGGTTTTATCATTTGTTGCTTAAAGAACAAGAGACACCCAGAATTGAGTATTCTCCCAAACCCTGATATAATAAAATCAAGATTCATATGACGATGAAGAACAATTTTCCATAGTGTGCTGTTACTGACTTCTCTATGTCGTCACTGGCTGAGGATGAGGAGGGGGCTGGCAGGCTGGCCATGCTCAGAGCATCTCCCTTCATCAGCACGCTGAGGCTCGCCTTCACGTAGCCTTTGATCCCTGATCTGGTGTCAGCCGGGTCCGTGAGAGGGGCCCACTTCTGGTAGAAGCGGTGGTCTGGAGAGTTTGGCACAGAGGTCAAAGGTCAGAAGGTAGTGTACAGTATTTTATATCAGAGTGCTGCAGTGCAACGGGGCTGGTACCTGGCTGGTTGTACACGGTGGAGATGTCGATCTTAAAGGTCCCAATGTGGGTCATCAGGAAGGCCAGGGTCCGCCTGTGAAACACCTGAGAGCAGGGGACGTCAACCAGAGGTGAGAATTTTCGGGCCCCTCCCAAAACTCTCATCAGGTTAACAGCAGTAGGAACAGAAGCAAAACATACAATAAAACTTTAAAACAGACCTTTATCTCGATGACTTTGTCAAATAGGACCTGTGGAGTCTCCTGAAACTCAAACTGGAAGTTCTAGAAGACAAGAAAAGGTAAACAGCTGTTATATACTTATTGTACACTTTATTCTACTGCACTGTATTTAATTGTATTGGACTGTATTTTACTTAAAACAACTCTACTGTATTGTCATTTATTCTATTTTACTCTACTGTACTGTAGCATATTTTTCTGTACTGTATTTACTCTACTTACAGTACGTACGTTTACGGTACTGTATTCTACTGTACTCTAATGTAGTTTATTGTATTTCATTAGACTGTATTTTACTGTACACTGCTGTACTGTATTGTTTTTGTTTTTTACTGTACTTTACTTTACTGTTCATTTTCTTTCTGTACTGGATTTTACTCTACTGTTTTGTACTATAATATACTTTACGATACTGTATTTTACAGTACACCACTGTATTGTACTGTACTGTCTCCTCTCTGCACTACCTCGTTGTAGAAGGGGCAGTTGGTGGATTTCTGTGTCGCTGTGTGTTTTTTCTGATCTCCTACTCTGATGAAAACTGCAGGGTTGATGTTCACTCCAACCAGCTTCTGAGCCTCCAGGATGTTCACATTCACCTGCAAACACACAAACAGAAAATACACACACACACATTACATTACATGTTACTTGTTAGTCGCTTTTATCCAAAGCGACTTACATACTCAATACTGTGGACAATCCCCACAGGAGCAATTTGGGGTGAAGTGTCTTGCCCAGGGACACAACGACATGCTGACTGCAGTGGGGTTTGAACCTGTGACCCCTGATCTCAACACCAAGGCTCTGTCCACTGCGCCACACGCCTCCCTACACACACATACACACACACACACACACACACACACACACCACACACACACACACACACACACACACACACACACACACACACACACACACACACACACCACACACACACACACACACACACACACACACACACACACACACACACAGAAACAGACCTTAATGCATTGACACTGATAACGGGTGACCAAGCAAGTTGCATATGCCTAAAATGGGAGGCCTCTGTGTGATGGAGTCAACTTGTTCCAAGTAACTGTTTTGTTACTTACAATGAATACACTGTACAGTAATTCATACTAAAGCTGTATATTTCTGGGGAATATTTGAAGAACAATTAATCGCTTAATACACAGCTCTTGAAAAAATCAAGAGACCACTTAATTTTTTTTAAATCTCAATCTCTACATGTTTGGCAGACATTCCATTCCAGTGTCTGTTGAATTCCAACACAGAGAAATGTTGTCAGTAGTTTATAGAATACATGTTTTTTTTTTAATTCCAGAGCTGAATTCCTGAAATCCAGTTTTTGTTTCTTTTTCCCATCAGAAGTGACTTCTACTGACCGGCCAATGCCTCTGTGATTTAGAAAAATATATTTTATTCTGAATGGCTGGGAGGTATGTCCGCTATTAATCTCCACTTGAGGGGCATCTAAAAAAAGGTAATTTTAGTTGGACAAGTAGTCACAGTTGTGAAAATGATAAACCAGAATGTGTGCTCCAATAGGAGTCAGGCTGCTGGAAGAGAGACTAAGGCTGATTGTCAAACCCAAACACTCGGCATGGTTAATGCAGGGTTGATGGCAGTTTTCCCATCTAGTCTGAATGTTCTGTGGACTTGAGAAACAGGATTACATACGACCTGCAGGGCTGCTGTGAGAGTTCAGTCAATATTCAACAAATAACCCTCCCTTTACAAGGGTGTAGAAGAACCTTAGGTGACCTTCAGATGCATCTGGCCACCAAATATAAATGTGCCCCTTCAAAGGCAAAATGCGAGAAAATAACTTTAGTTTTAAAAAAAACAAAAAACGTTTAGCTCAGTTATATATCACACAGGCTCCGCCCTCTACTGGACTCTATGGGTACTACTCTCTACCATGCTATGCAAGGATTCACCTACTGAGTTGCATACACGTAGCCGGCCAATCGGGGCGAGCCTACCTGAATGCGCGTGCAGGCCCACAGTATATAAGGTGGCTACGCCTCCCGACTGTCATCCTTTTTCTCTTCAGCAAGCGAGCAACAACTGACAGAGAAAGTAAAACGTTTGAAAGAAGAAGAAAGAGTTATCATACCTTCGTGCCCTGGATTAATAGCGGGCGCCGATCCCCACCACCTCTGCTTCGAGTGTTTGGGGGACCAGGATATGGCCGAGGCGGTGCCATTCACGTTCGCCATTCACGTTCGCCATTCACGTTCGCCATTCACGTTCGCCATTCACGTTCGCCATTCTAGCGGGGCGGATGGCTCCGTTTGCCGGGGAGGAGGATGACGAGGACTTTTCGTTGTCGGGCACTTCCGGGTCCGGCGTCCATGGAAGTCCACCACCCAGGTCTGTACTTCCCCCTAGGTGATGACCATGTCGGCGGAGCGTGGCAGCCCATCTGCAACCAGCAAGCAGCAGGCTGGGCAGAGAGCCTCTGCCCCGCTGCCGCGTGACAGGGCGGCTGCAAATAAACACGGGTGTGTTGGGCGTCTCGATCATTGCTCTTCTGCAAGACGCGCCCACTTCACCGGATCAGAGCGATTATTTGGCCGCAGCATCGGCCGAATTGATAGCTTGGTCTACGGTGTGGCCGCCGCGGCTTGCCGTGTGATGTCCCTGGGGGATCACGCCGCATGGCACTTTCCAAAAAGACCGTGATGATCTCCTGGGAGCCCCCGTGTATACGGAAGTGTTCTTTGGATCGATTTCCTTGGTCACGTGGATTTCATTTCATTTCAAACCTTTATTTATCCAGGTGTATCCCATTGAGATCATTGATCTCTTTTTCAAGGGAGACCTGCTCAAGTAGGTTCCACATGAAACATAAAAACATAAACAGAACAACAAAAAGGACATCATACAGCATCATTACAGGGATTACAATTTACATAACTATCCACATGCACAGGTACCAACAGCTTCCGATTGAGTAGCATCCAACCGAGCTTTAAAAACATTTAGTGGCACCAGATTGCTCAGTTTCCATTTCAATTATTCGAGGAGTATTCGCAGCTTGGTGTATGCTGCTTCTTGCTCATCCTCAGAGGACAGAACACTGTCCCACACTCGCCGCCCCGCTGTAAACTCCAGTAAAGGAAGCAGCAGGTGGGCGCACGCACGTGAGTGGAATAAACCGCAGAAAGTGCTGTCAAAGCACTGTGCAGGTTCAAGAGACGATATTGCCGGCGTGCTGTTGTCAGAAAACACACCTTGCCTGGTATAATAGCTCCGATTAATGCGTTTCACACCGTTGAATGTGAAACACAGCGTTAATACGAAGGCGCGCGGCCCCCGTGAGAGTGGCCGCGGTGCGTCCAAGGACCTCTGCAGAAGAACGGTGGGTTACGTATTGTAACCCTAGTTCTAGAGTGATGTGTGTGTGAAAAATGCATTCAGTAAAAACGATTGCATTTATCCCAGAGTAAGAGTCATCTCTCTCCACAATTTCACATTTCCCCATAATGTCTAGTGGAAATCGGCAAGATCCGTTTCATACCATGTTAATTGGGCACCCATTATGAGACACAATTCCCCACTCGCCGCCCCAGTTGTAACTCCAGTAAAGGAGGCAGCCAGTGGGCGCGCCCATGTGAGTGTGATTAACCGCAGGAAGTGCTGTCAAAGCGCTATGCGGGTGCAGGGACATTATGGCCGGGAAGTTGTTGTCAGAAAACACACCTCGCCTAGTGTATAGCTCCGATGGATGCATTTCACCGTCTGTGTGAAGATGGCATTATGACGGGGCGCGCGGCCCACCGAGTGCGTTCAAGGACCTCAATAGAAAATCGGCCCTTTCTGTGTCAGCCCCCCATGAGCCAATCTTCCTTTTATGGAAGGTTTGGCGGCGGAGGGGGCCACCAGAGAGTGCTACAGCTTCTAGCTGCGACTCCACAGCGGCTTGCAGGTCCCTTAACACAGGGGGAATGGAAGCTCAGCTGTGTACTGACAGAATGGATGGCCAGGACACTGAAACTGGGGTACTCACTCCAGTTTTGCAGCGTCCCTCCTCCATTCAGGCAAATCTATCATTCAGGAGGAGATAGGTTTCCTTTCAACAGTGTGTACTCTCAGGACAGAGAAAAGGGGCTTTAATCCATGTACTTCCTGGTTCCCAAGAAGACAGGAGAATTCAGACCCATTCTGGATCTTCGCAGCCTGAAACAGCACATTGCCTGCGAAAAGTTCCATATGTAAACCAATTACTGGAACTACGGCAGCCGGGCGATTGGTTCACAACCATCAACCTGAAGGACGCTTACTTTCATGTCGAAAATGGCTCCAAAGCACAGAAAGTATTTGCGTTTTGCCTTCCAGGGGGTAGCCTACGAGTACAGACTACCGTTTGGCTACTCCCTATCCCCACGCACGTTCAGCAAATGTGTGACCACAGCGCTTCAGCCGCTTCGCGACCATGGCATGAGGGTTTTCTAATGCGACCTCATAGTCATGGCCAGGTCCTGGGAAGGGGCAAACACAGCCCAATTGATCCAAGTGGATTGCGGTCAATTGAGAAGAAGAGCAGTCCCATACCTCACCAGCAGGTGGAGTATCTGGAGATTTTGCTCGATGCAGGCAGACTACGTGCCACCCTGTCAGAGAGCAGACAGGCATCCCTGCATCAGGCAGTTTGCAGACTGCGACAGGGGGCAACGGTGACAGCTTTGACCATCATGCAGACTCTGGGTCTCATGGCGGCTGCTCACCTCGTGGTATCGCTGGGGTTACTTACTCGCCTGCAGAAGTAGTTTGCCGGCCGTCGTTTAGATCCCAAGAGGCACAAACGACGTCTGGTGACCATACCCCCCCTCAGTGGAGGGCAACCTCCGATACTGTGCATCCGTGACAGGATAGGGGGGGGGACCTGCCTAGAGAGAGCTATAGGTGGTGGCTGGCCTCTGACGGAAACTCGGCACATCAACCTGCTAGAGCTACGGGCAGTAGTACTGCTCCTACAGCACTGCAAACCCTTACTACAGGGCAAACATGTGCTGGTGAGGAGCGACAACCGCACCACAGTGGCTTACATCAACAGGCAGGACGGAGTCAGCCCCGCCGCCTGCCATGGCCAAGGTAGAGCCATGGCCAAGATAGCTGCTCTACGCCTTTCCACCGCAGGTGCAATAGGGGCGTTACTCACTCTGGGCCAACCTCTCCAGGCTTGGCTCCTGAGAGGGACGGGCTGAGACGGGAGGGACTGTCTGACAAAGTTATTCAGACTATCCAGGCAGCAAGAGCAGGATCCACCACAGCCTGTTACAGGACGAAGTGGTTGGGATTCCAGCGGTGGTGTGAAGAAAGGAGTCTAGAGCCTCTATCATGTACATTGGGCACTATTCTGTCCTATTTACAGATACTGGTGGACAGGGGGCTTGCTCATTCCACAATTAAAGTGTATGCAGCAGCCATTTCGTCCTGCCATGAGGGATTTGACGGCAGGTCAGCCTTCAGTCAGCCGCTTATGACGCGGTTTTTGCAGGGGGTCAGGAGGCAGCGCCCAGTAGTGCACGCCTCCGCCCCGCAGTGGGACCTGCCGTTGGTGCTCGAGGCTCTGGTCACAGAACCATTTGAGCCTCTGGAGCTCTCCTCCCTGAAAGCACTGTCATGGAAGACAGCATTGCTACTTGCCTTGACTTCGGCCAAGAGAGTGTCCGAGCTGACCGCTCTGTCGGTGCACCCAAGTTGTCTTTTGATCCGGGGTGACCGTAGCGGGGCGACACTCAGACCGAACCCCTCCATTGCTCCCAAGAGCCTAAGGAGTATGTTCAGGTCAAGGGCTATTCAGTTAGGTGGCTTTAATCTTCCACCCCATAGTGGGGCCAGGGAGGCTAAATTGCACCTCCTCTGCCCAGTGCGTGCGCTAGCATGTTATGTAGAGTGCACGGCTGCCATTAGGCGCACTGAACAGCTGTTTGTGTGCTTTGGGGATGGTGTGGCTGGAAAAGCTCTCTCCAAGAGGCGCCTGACAGGATGGCTCTGCGAGTGCATTACACATGCCTATGGACGGGCGGGGAGAGCCCTCCTCACTGGGGTCCGTGCACACTCTACACGGGTTGTGGCTGCGTCTTGGTCTACGCCAGGCCCCTTCATAAAGTTTTATCTCTTGGACATTACTGGCTCCTTCTCGTCGTCTGTGCTTGCCGGGGCAACACATGACTGGTGAGAGGGGGGGGCTGTGGGTCAGTAGGTGTCTGACCCCCCCTGGGACAGAGTGCACTTATGTTTTTCCCATGCTCCTTAGGGACCTGGGGAACATGATGATGTAAGCTCCATACAGAGTCTTCCGCACTATTTTTTTCCATGCACACTCTACACGAGGTAAGCGTGTGTGAGTGTGCCTTATCCAAGCTGCGGCCCCGACTTCTCCACGGTCACAACCGGATGGGAGGAAGTAGGGGTGCGGTGGATGTTAGCCAAAGGCCGGTCAGGGGCAGTGTGATGGGTCGATGGGTCGATGTTGTTGGATGACAGGGCGTTTATACATCGGGGCTCCACCCACTGTACCCATAGAGTCCAGTAGAGGGCGAAGCCTGTGTGATATATAACGCACAGGCGGAGCCCTCTACCTGGGGGCCCTGTCTTTCTTATGCCGCTCGCTGAAGAGGGTGTAGGATGACTGTCGGGAGGCGTAGCCGCCTTATATACTGTGGGCCTGCGCGCGCATTCAGGTAGGCTCGCCCCGATTGGCCGGCTACGTTTATGCAACTCAGTTGAAATCTGCCTCTTCCTTCAGACTTCCTTACAGAGCCCCTCCTCCAACACACACGAACGCGCACATGACCAATGAGGGTACGAGATCAGTTTGTGCACAGATGGAAGGCTGACAGGCAGGTAGGCCATCCAGTTATTTTAGCCGGGCCGGCTCAGATGATTGGTCGTGCTTTTTACAGCGCCACGGCTTCCACAGATGACATTTTTTTATGTATTTATTGTCAAAGCATTTAACCTGTTCCACTCTGAGCCTGTTTTTCAGGTCTCAGGCTCGAAAATGACATTCCCAGAACAAATGACCATATCTTCCCTTCTAAAAGGGTTAAATTAATAATCTTTGTTCTCAAAGTAATGATAAACCTGTGAGTTGGATGTAGAAGTGTCAGAATCAATATAAATGTTTTTTATTTTAAAGAAAATTCAGATTTTACATAGTAAAAAACTGTAAATTATAGTGTCCGTCCAAAAATTATTTTTTACAGATAGTGAAAACTACCCTTGGATGATGGGTTAGTAGACTAAAAGCTTTAGGAATCCAAAGTACAACATATAATAAGTACCCTGTATCAAGATTGATGCAAAACAAGTGAGATTTGACCTTTTTAGAGAGATTTAGCCAAAAAACCCCACTTCTGGGGTCATTTGGGTGGATTTGACCTATCTCTGGCCCCCCTTGGTCGATTTGGTTGGTTGACATACCCTTGTGACCGTTAGAGCCAATAGAATCGAAGGGGGAGGCTTACATACACATTCGTTGTAAATAGAAAAGGTGGGGGCTACGCGTCTAGAACTGAAACTGGATTTGCAGATTTTCTCCTTCTGGAGTTTGGAAACTAAAAATCCGTTTTATTGCTTATGGATTATCAGAAATAATTTAAAAGAAGGCACAGACACATAGGATGAACCTATGGATTAACTGCAGCATCGTTTTTTTATCGTTTTAATGCCATTGAAGACCACTTTTGACCAAGGTAAGCCATGTTTACGTGTTTAGCTACTTAGCTCCACATGTGATGATGTACGCTTTCGTTTATAGCGTCGCGAATGTTTATCACTGAGTGTTGAGGAGGGCACCGGTAGATTCAGTGTCTCCAGGACACCAAAAAAGAGTGGTTGGTTGTGCATCTAGGATAAGTAATAAGGGAGTTAGAGTGAGTTTAGGTGCAGAGATGGGTTATATTTTTTCGCTGTTGGCTAATTCAGAGGCTGAGTGCTAGCATTGTGGTTTTTTTTTGAAAAAATAAATAAAAAAGATCAGTTAGCTGAGTTTCTTCCCGTTACATGGATATAACACATTCATAGTTTTATTCAATATTAAGATTCCTTAGACGTTGTTTCCTGCAAATGACGCGTTTATCCGCCCGGTACCGGGCGGAAGGTTCGTAACAGGTTAATATATTCATTGCTATTGGGATGTTAAGAGCATTCCATGGAATATAACAAAAAGTGTATCTGAAAAAATGACATACCCTACCTTTAAGCGAAAAAAAACAACAATATTATTGTGAATATTAAATGTTATTTATGCTAATAAATCCCCCTAAATCTTACACACAGGTCCATTAAAACATTGTCCAACAGCAGAAACAACACTATAATGGCGCATTTCCACCACACGGTCGGCCTCGGCCACGCTCGGTACTGCTTGGCTGCGTTGGGCCTTAACAGGGCCGGCTCACTTCATGCTGCGCTTCCATTACAGTTTAGGAACTGGGGTAGTTGACGTCATCTTCAATGAGAACCCCAGAAAAACAACACATCCGTTAGCTGTTAGCACTCAGAGCTCACAGCTCCTTATATATGTTCAGAAACTCGACAAAAGTTAAACAAGTACACACCACAGACTGCCTGTGTCATGGCGAGTACAGTCGCTGCTTTATTTATGTCTGTATAGGCCGTTGTTGTGAGTGTGGACGGTCGGAGCATATACAACGTTAGCTTAGCCAATCTCCATCTAGAAAACACGCATTTTAAAAGGTTTTTCACCTGCCGTCTGTCTGCAAACTTGCCAAAGCATTAATTCATGGTTTTTACTAACCGGTATCAGTATGTTGTTACTTCGGCATCATTTTGAAACGTGTATTACAATTAAATCACGGTCAAATATGTTCATCTTGTTGTAGTTGTAGCCTCCTTGACAGCGATTCTCTCTCTAGCTTAGCATACTCAGCCCGACTCAGCCCTGTTTGTTGGCCCCGATAGAACCACAATTTTGTCGGGCCAGAAAAGAGGTGAAAAAGTGGCCCCGAGCCGGGCCGTAACTAGGCCTAGTGGAAGCGCAACCAAAAACGGGCACGGCACGACACGGCACGCTTAAACCGCGCTCCGCGCCATGGTGGAAATGCGCCATAAGAGTGGTACGAGTGAACCATACATACAGCATGGTCAGTGGCGTAACAAGGTTGTGATTGGCCCCGGTGCAAATATTGTTTTTGTTTTTTGCATGGGCCCCTGGCCGGCTCTGGGCCCCGGAGCTTCGCACCGGCTGCACCGTCGATAGTTACACCACTGAGCATGGTATATTTACAACTCAATATCAAGCTCTGAGAGCAGTTGCTGATTCAGGTGGGGATTCTCTGCAGATTCTTAACCACTCGTACCTCTCCCATGAAGATAGATATAATAGCCACTTATTTTGTAGTGTTTCTGGGGCACATCAGGACATGCTTAATGTATCAGCTCAGGATCCTCCAGTAGTTTCTTGGGGCTGTGGCTGCAGAGAATGATGCCTGGGTCACCTTGATTAGCCTGTTGCCACGGAAACACTGGCCAGGAGGTGGATCATGTAAGCTAACAACCCCCCACTGTGCTATTACCATGACAAAAACAGCCATTTTTTGGAGCCAGCTTGCTCAGATACAGCATTTTATATATTTTAAATATATGTATTCAACATAGATTCAGCTCTCCCCATTGAGTACCTGCTTTCTTTTTAATATATTTTCTATTGTGTTTAAATGTGACATGATATGATGTGTTTAATGGTTTAAATGTCTGCCTACACAAAAAGTAGACAAAAAAAAGTGTTCTTCTTTTTCGTTTTGTTCTTGTTCTTGTTCTTGTTCTTGTTCTTGTTCTTGTTCTTGTTCTTCTAACACGGCTCAGGATAAGTGCTCAAACATGGATAAATGAACTCACCTGGAATCCCTGGACTCTAGGCGTCGCCGCAGCAACATTTCTGGACATCGGTCTGCAACGACTACGCACACACACACACACACACACACACACACACACACACACACACACACACACACACACACACACACACACACACACACACACACACACACACACACACACATACACACACACACACACACACACACACACACACACACACACACACACACACACACACACATTGTTGACAGCAGCACTTGAGTTGACAGAACGGTAATTAGACAGACAGTAGTGTAGTCTGACCTCAGCAGAGGAGTGAAGATGATGTCAGAAGCATCCAAGTCCATAATGTCATCGTCAAAATCATCTTCATCATCGTCTTCATCTTCATTCCCTGTTCGGACAAGGCTCCTTCCCAAACGTCGAGCCTCTCTTTCCAGCAGGCCTGGGCGAGCGACAGTCAGCTGACTGAGAGAGAGAGAGAGAGAGAGAGAGAGAGAGAGAGGAATGAATCGTTTCCCTAAAATGACTTATTTTTATTCTTACATCAGTAGTAGGTGTGGAGGAGTAATTGGTTTCAGCTGATGATGATGATGATGATTGTGTTTCAAAGTACACCTGATGCTTGGCCATGTCTGATATTTCTGCCAATATGATCTTGTCAGACAAGTATTGGTATAATAGAGTGGTGCAGTGATGACTTTTTCTTTACCTTGAAATTTGCATCGCAAGTGCACCCTAACAGAAAGCAATGAGATTTTTTCATTGGACTACGTTATATTGTGCAAAATAAGCATCGCATGGCAACCACATGTTTGAGATACTGTTTTGATCAGCAGGATAATCTCCAGATAACAACACTTATATACATTTTAAAGCGTAAGTGCTTTAAAATGCACAGCTAATGTTAGCCTATAACAGCTAATGTTAGCCTATAAACTAACTATGTCACAGTCACATGGCTGCGTATCACCACCGCTAAGCTAAAGGCGGCTAATGTTTGGTGTGATGAAGTTTGCAGTCTCATTTAGTCAATTGTTAGCAACCAATGTTCTTATTATGACACATACAAGCTTCAGACTTTGGGGTATTTACTGACATATATAACTACACTTTAATAACGTTCAAATATCTTTAGCTTGTGTCAACAACAGACCTTATTTCAGGCGTCTTAACAAAAACACGTTTAAAAGGGATCCGGATGTGGTGAAGTTTTTGAAGACTCATTCCTGCACCACTATTATCCAGCATAAGAGAATGAATGTGTAAGTTGTGTGATTTCTTACCTTTCAGGGTCAGTAAATCCTACATTCCTGAAGACCATAGCTGATCTGAGGATGAAGGAAGGAAGAATAAAATAAGGGGAGAAAATAATAGTTTTTTCAGCCTCAGACTTTGAAAATCAAAGTAACTGCTGTTTTCATTTTCAAATAGTTCAAATAATTTAAAACATAAATGTTATATACAATACACATGCATATGAATAACGTAAAAATATAGATGTGTACTCTTAGTGTGACTAAAATAATGCTTGTACAAATAAGAGTCATTGTTGATATTGCATTTTAGTTTTAACATTTTAATTAACATTTGTCCACTGAACAGTTTGTGGTTTCCTCCTCCACAGTACAACCAGAGACTCTCTAGAACTTACTCATCCTGGTCTTCAACTTGAATGAAGTCAAGTCCTTCCCAGCTTCCTGCTGTTCCTTCAACTGGATGGTACCGAATATCCAACTCAATATAGATCTACAGAGAGAGAATGAATAAAACCCAAATAATCTCTTGATGTGTGTGTGTGTGCGTGCATGCATGCGTGCGTGCGTGCGTGCGTGTGTGTGTGAGTGTGTGTGTTTTTTGTGTGTGTGTGTCTTACCTCAGTCAGGCTGTAGTTGGAGTCAGTGAGTGGTTCCCGTAGCAACACCCTCCCCGTGGTAACGGCATGCTGGAGACTGATGACCAGCTTACCGAGCAATCTTCACACACACACACACACACACACACACACACACACACACACTGTAACTGAGATGCCTGTTTGTGCCTGCTGTTTGTGTGTGTGTGTGTGTGTGTGTGTGTGTGTGTGTGTGTGTGTGTGTGTGTGTGTGTGTGTGTGTGTGTGTGTGTGTGTGTGTGTGTGTGTGTGTGTATGTGGCTTTCTAGGACAAGTATATCAAATACCAACCACTGCTCCATGTGATAACCAGCTTTGGGTACAAGTGTAGATATAGCAAACTCATATTCGGAAGTCTTGGCCATGTATATAAATGCACCATGATTGGTCTGAGAATTGCTGGAATGTCAAAGAGAAAAGCCAAACAAATTGCCAAATATTGCTCTGTTTCAGCTATTATTGGCAGCTTAGCCGTGTGGAGAAGGAGATGCTATGTGTTCCCCTAAGTGTTCTGTGCTGCTTAGCCCCGATATATTTGATTCCCTGTCTTATGTAATATAATTTGTGGAACCAAATAAAGTATTCAAATGTGTGTGTGTGTGTGTGTGTGTGTGTGTGTGTGTGTGTGTGTGTGTGTGTGTGTGTGTGTGTGTGTGTGTGTGTGTGTGTGTGTGTGTGTGTGTGTGTGTGTGTGTGTGTGTTACCTGTTGGAGAAAACTTTACTGCAGTTGTACACACTGATGGACAAAACTTCATCCCTGATCTCTTTCCCATAGTGAGGCCAACGGAAATGCTGTACACACAAAAACACACGCAAAAACACACACACAAAAACAGTTAACTTTCTTTGTTAAGATTAACCTTTTTCAGCAATAGGTTTCAGAGTCATTACATGACCTATAAATACACTCGTAAAAGAAATCCTAATCTAAAGTTTAAAATGTACAAGAAAAAAACGTATAGGTAATTATAATAATAATTACTTGTCAAGAATTTTAAATGCCAAATGTATGACTTTAAAAAAAATCTTATAATTTTACAATACAAGAGAATGCATAGATTTATTTCGCCCAAATGTACAATTTTAACCACCAACCCTGTGATAATGCCCAAAACATTGAGATATAGCTGCTATGTAAACATCAATATTAAGCAAACTTCTCAAGCAAAAAGAAAGAGACTATTTCTGTCTTCACGCTGTATATTTTCCAGTTCAAACTTTAATCACCATGTGCTAGCTTTAGGCACACACACACACACACACACACACACACACACACACACACACACACACACACACACACACACACATACACACACACACACACACACACACACACACACACACTCTGGTGGTCACACCTGAAGAACAAACACCAGGCTGACTCAGGAGCTGCAGAGAAGCAGAACTAAACACAGAAACTCTCTGCTGTCGTCATACGGAGGTTACTGTAAAACATTACATTGTCTGACCTGAGGGCAAACAGGAAGAGGCTTCACTTCAACAAACATGTTCTCTCTTTGCTAAAGCCAAAGGATCAAAGTTAAAAGAACCTCAAACTCAAGACAGTTTTGTTCTGATCACAATGCTGTTAAACTTTATTTACATAAAAGTATGTAATTAATAAGGGGAAAAAACGAATTATAAGTAGAAATACACAATGCAGACAAATTGCCCCCTACTATAAAAATGGTCCTACTATTATTATTTCAATGAAACATTTGAATCATTAACACTTGGGAAGCTTGAACCCTGAGATGTTTTTACTTTCAGGGTAAAACAACGTCAATGTACAAAATTGTTTATTTTGTATTTATTCATTGATTAATTCTCAGGTTAGGTGGTTTAATTTATTATAAAAACATCATATTTAGACGGTGTGCTTTGATGCAAAATCATATAAGTAAACTATATGTTATGTTTGGCTGCAATAACTACAATACCCAGCCTCAGTGGCAGTGGCAGAAATAGAAAAACATGTATTACCCATCCAGTTCTCATCTACTGTCTTATTTAACGAAAATAGTGCTAAAATCCCTAACCATTTCATATATATTGCAAGATATTTTTCTGTCCAAAGTGCTTTCCTGAATGTTTTCAATTGAGGTTTACAAACTAAGCTTTGAATGTCTGGCACTATTTCATGAAGTCATCCCCCAATAAAAGAAAAAAGTCAAACAAAAATCAATACATTAACTCAAACAAGTCCTCAATGGTTGATGGTGGGATTCATTGGATCTGCAATTGCACACGAATATCAGGTTTTACAGAATTAATAGAAATGTAAAACAGAAAAAAGCTGTGCACTGTCAATCTGATTTAAATCTGAATGTCCACGCTGTTAATGAAGCTCAAACTATTCAGTACAGCTGTAACTATCCGCCATTTCATCTGAGTTGGAAATTCCAAGCAGCACCCATAACATGTCCAACACTCCCATAGTGCAGTGCATCATATTTTCTAGATTTGAAATGTCTGTGTGAAATCTCCCTCACTGCTTACTTGAGAGCCAACAACTGACAGTCTATGATACATGGAGTAATGAAGGGTTGTCCTAAAGGACCTTTTTCAGTCTCAAATGGCTGTGTTCATTATAGTGGGAGGGAGTTGCAATCCATAGCATATTTTTACTCTGAGGCAAATGTCTTCCTTTTCATGTGTAGCCATAGTGATACATCCACTGGAGTACATGAACGTCTGAACAAAATGTGACTCCAATCTATCAAATCTAATCCATCTAATAATTGAGATTACACTCTTCATTCCTGCAAAACATTGTGAGGTAGAAAGGGAGTTTTTGGTTGTTTTATTTCTTCATAGCCTCATTGGGCACAGCAAAGTACAATAAAAAAGAATCACATCTTTAGTTGTGTGTGTGATGAAGGAGGGGCAGTGTATGTCTGTGAGTGTGTGTCTGTGTGTTTGTGTGTACTGTAGGAGTGGTGCAGTTTCCTATCAGCTCCATTAAAATAGTTTCAATCTGAAGCAAACAAACAACTGCAGCTACCTGCTGTAACACACACACACACACACACACACACACACAAACACACACACACACACACACACACACACACACACACACACACACACACACACACACACACACACACACACATACACACACACACACACACACACACACACACACACGCGCACACACGCGCACGCACACACACACACACACACACACCTTGGATGTCAAAGTTGTTGGTCGGCAATGCTGTTAAGGTTTTCTATCTACTGCTTATTTACATCAACCGACTCTAAATAATCTCTTTAAATGAACGGACGGTAATGGATTAAAAACGGCAGACAGAAATCTCCCCTCTCAAAGAGGAGAAGATGGAATTCACTCAGCACCAGAGCAGGCAGGAGATGGTGGCCAGGCATTGAGAGAAGAAAGAAAGAGTCTCAGACCTAACCATGCTGGTAACTCTTGACGACCAGAGGAAAGAATACCAGAGGAAGGTGGACCTGTTGGAGAAGCAGATCCTTCAGAGGGACACTGACATTCTGGATCTCAGTAAGGTCGAGGATGGTCTCTCCATAAAACTCTCAGAGACCGCAAACCTGCTGCGGAACAAAGAAGCTGGGATCCTTCAAAGCCTGGCAGGCTAAATTCAACGCCATTGAGAAATTCAGCAAAGATTCAGCAGAGAAAGACCTGATCTGGGAGACATAAGCCAACCAGATGGAGACAAAACTCAAACAACTGGATGAAGAGAAAAATAAAGATACAAGACTCAGGAGGACAAGCTTTCAAAGTACCTGGCCAACAAACAACAGATCTAGGACATCATGCAGATCCAATACAATAAGAAGCCGAGGCAGACTGAGGAGCAGAGAGACTCCAGAGAGACTCTGACATCCTGGATCTCTGCAAACTCTCAGAAACAAACAGAAAGCAGACACAAGCTGCAGATCAAAGGAGCTGACAGAGCGAGAGCGCCTGGGTGGCTGAATATGACTCTGGAGATAAAGTTCAGCAATGATCTGGCTGAGAAATAACAGGTCACATGACATGGTATTTATTGAAAACAAAGATGATCCTCTTTTAAAATATGTTTGAAAAATAAATGCATGGCACTTGGGACGTATGCCACATGCTGTAATACACATTTGTTATAGTTGTAGGCCCCTTTTTTTAGTAACATGGATACGTGAGCACAAAGGCATTGAAATGACATTGGTTTTGTGAAATATAGGTAATTTCCCTAGTCCCTAACTGAAACCCTATGATGTGAGATAACCGTCCTCTGATTTCTGACAGTCTGTCGAATGTCCATCGTAAAATAACCTCATGCATTTAAATTAACCAGTTAGTTAAACCATGTAGAAATAGACTCCTCTGTTTCTCAGAACAGCAGCACTCTCATTCTGGTGAAGAGCGTCAGATCACAAAAACACAATCCTGTATGAATGTGATATTCAGCCATTGACTGAAATCTTTGTGATTTCTTTTTTAGCCCAAAAAAGTTAGCCTGCTCCTTGCATCAGATGAGGGACGTTTGTTTTACTGACCTCGTTGAAGATGGCCAAGTTCTCACACTGCAGAGCCTTGGTTTTGTGGGTAAAGCCTGGAGGACAGACAGGAAGACAGACAGACAGTTAACCATTGCAACAGCACTGATGGAGGAAGTACTCTTTTATGTTTAGAGTTTAGTACTCAACACATAAAATGATTAGCATAACAAATATCTCAGGTTTATTTACTAAAGGTATTGTTTAATCAATGGAAACCTCGTTCATATATTGCATGCTGTGTAGAATGCATAATGCAAGATATACGAGTACTTTTATGCAAAATGCTTCATTTCAGAGTCATATTTGTATTGGATAGTTTGGTTGTGATTTTTGATGCATTTATGCTTTTATCAATTTTGCAGCTGTGAAGGTTGAGCTAGTTTTGATATCTTTATACTGCTGTGATACAAATCAAGGATTCAAACGATTCAAAAGGTTTAATGTCATATACAAATGTCATGTATATATGATATGAAAGACTTGGGTCACAGGTTTCTTAACAATGCAATTTAAATATATACAAGACATACAAAAAAAAGATTACTGCAAGCTCAGGCGTTAAGAAGTCTGTGTGGCTTAACCTTAAAGGTGGGGTAGGTAATTTTGGAGAAACCAGCTCGAGTGCGCTAAAATTTGAAAATACACAGCCGGAAAAAATCTGCCACTTCCTTACAGAGCCCCTCCTCCAACACACACGTTCGCGCACATGACCAATGAGGGCACGAGATAAGTTTGTGCACAGATGGAAGGCTGACAGGCAGGTAGGCCATCCAGTTATTTTAGCCGGGCGGGCTAAAATGATTGGTCGTGCTTTTTACAGTACTACGGCTTCCACAGATGATATTTTTTTATGGATTTTTTGTCAAAGCACTTAAGATATTCATTGCTATCGGGATGTTAAGAGCATTCCATGGAATATAACAAAAAGTGTATCTCGAGCCGGTTTCTCAAACTTGCCTACCCCACCTTTAAGACATATATTGTTGACTATGAGAAAATGTATGTTTTGCATTAATGATCTGATACTGCAAAGTTACCAGTATCATTCAAATATTGTGTCTTTGTTTTTTTATGTGTGAAGGGTATTATTTTGAGAAATATTCAAATCAAATAAATTCTAAAATCAGGATCAATCTGAATCTAACAATGATACTGTGTCTTACCCTACCTAGTATTTATTTATTGTGTGAAAATTAAGTTAGACTTTAAGTCTTACTTAAAATTGAGTATTTTTATGGTGTGGTATTTTTTATGTTGAAGAAGAAGACATACTTTATTCATCGACATTTCTTTCCCCATGGTGTTTACACACACAGGGAGGATATACATGCATTAACACAGAGGATATACATGCATTAACACAGAGGATATACATGCACACACAACCACATGCAGAGCAGAGAGGCTGCCAGGTACCCGGCACCAAGGGAGCAGTTTGGAGGTTAGGTGCCTTGCTCAAGGGCACCTCGGCAGTGGCCCAGGAGGTGAACTGGCCCCTCTCCAGCTACCAGCTCACTCCATATCTTTTTTTTTTTAGTCCGTTCAGGATGTGAACCGGCGACCCTTCGGTTCCAAGACCAAGTCCCTACAGACTGAGCCACTGCCGCCTCAAAAGTGTCTAACATCACTGTCCAGAGGGCGATGAAGTACTCAGATCTGTACTTCAGTGAAAGCATTAAAGGTGGGGCTAACTTTTATAACTTAATGTAGTCTTTGTGTTTTCTCTGAGGGGATCAATAAAGTTAAAACATCATCTAACAGCCAGCTAAAAAAACACCTTAAAACACAGCAAAAATTGCTTAACAAATGACTAATGGTAGAAGAAGTTAAACAGAAATAACGCTAGAATCGGATAACATCACGGAAGGCTTTGCAATGACAGAAGCAACTGACCGCCTGCTGTATTTCCTCAGGCAGGGTATTTTAAAATTATATTACATCATATTTATTAGTTAATATTTTATATTAATAATCTAAACAAGCAAAGTTCAGTTGATGAATTGAGTTGGAGCAGAAGTATAACAATTAACATGAACTGGAAAAACTCAAGTAAACCTCAAGAATGAATGTGAGTTACTGACCTCTGAAGCACAGTTCCACCTTTCTGTCAGATCGTCCCGGCAGGTTGGAGATCTTCTTCAGATTCACACTGATGGACATGATGATCCTGTCTGTGTTCAGCTGTCTGTCTCTCTACATCGTGTCTCACTGTAGTCGTCTCCTCTGCTCTCTTCTACTGTTGGAAACTAACTGCTGTGTGTGTTTTCTGTCCAACAGGGTTATAGGAGTTACCTGAGTGAGTGTGTGTGTGTGTGTGTGTGTGTGTGTGTGTGTGTGTGTGTGTGTCTGTGTGTGTGTGTCTGTTAGGGCAGGTCCTCTAATGTTTGAGAAAGCAAATACAGTTGCTCAACTAGTTTCCTTCTCAGAAAATACACACTCTGAAACACACACTTAGCCCAGTCACCTCAGTATAGCAATATGAAAACTACTCTTAACCCAAATCAGATGTTATCAAAGTATTTAATTAAAGTTATTAATTTATAAATGAAGTCTAGTGTGTGTGTGTTGTACTGACTGCTGTTTCTCTGGAGGGAAATCGAGCTAGAAGCAAGAAAAGGACAAGAAAACACAAAGTACAACAAACTTGACTTTTAACTTTAACCTGGGGACATCATGAGCCCAACATTTTAGTTCTCCACATATCTCTATCAAATCTGGAAGCCATATCTGGGACAGTTATATCTTGTAGGCTGTAGAGAAGAAGCAACGGTCTTGTAGTTAAATTAAAGCATTAGTTGTCCCTGGTGTTACAGTAAAGTATGGTTTAATATAACATGAAGTTGTTTGTTGCTGTAGGACAGATGGGAAAAGTGTTCAAATGATCGACTTAATACCAATAAAATAATGTAACACATAATCCGTTACCAGTAAAACCCTGTTTGTAAAGTCTTATAAAGTAAAATCATGATGCTTGATGTAAAAGTACTTGCTTCGTTCCTGTGACTAATCATTATTATGCAATTCATTCATATCATGTATTTTGGCTATAAATGTTTTTTTAATTGCCACTTAATTAAAAATCAACACGATTACACATCGAACACTAATATAATATAAATATCAATTAAAAAAACATTTGTCCAGAAAAAAGTACTGAAGAAAATGTATCCTGAATCTTTCCCACGTGTTCCACGGTCATAACCAGGAGAGAAATCACAATCATTATTTATTTCTCTCACTTTCCTCCTGAAACAAAGTAAATACATTCTTTTCCCAAATATGTTTTTATTATTGTTTTCTACCAGGCAGTGCTCATACAGACATGATATAGAGTAACTGGTTATACTGGTCTTAGTTATACTGGTTGGTTTAAGCAGTCATGTGAATAAGTGAGCGGTGGGGCTGGTGGTCACATGATGATGTGGATCAACAAGGATGTAAACAGAAAAATAAACAGATACAAAAAATGGTATAAAAAGTGTTCACAGTGAGCCGTGCAGCAAAGATAAGGCAGCCTTGTAATTCTCTCTGATTTCTATAATGATTGCTTTCACTTTATCAACAGTCTGGTTCAAATGAAAACTCCATGATTTTGGCCAAAGTTTCTACCATTAGACAACCTCTTTCTTTCAAAGGTTCCCTTCGAATAGAAACAGACATTAAACAAGTTACTGGTAATGTAGAAGAATACAAAAAGACGTCATGGCAGCCTGACAGGGACACACTTGGCAAATGACATTAAACACAAACTCTGACATCATGGTCCACTTCATTAGATTTTTCAAGTTCTATTCCGACTGTTTCAATTCTCAAATGTTACAATTTAAAAGGTTTTTATAAAACCTTATTATGTTGTCATTATGGGAAAACTGGAACCAATTTGATCCAAACAGCCGACACTGATGGCACCTCAGAGGCAGAAGGATTTGTCAAATGTTTGACAAAACATTCTTCTCTCACTTCCTTAACTAGCCAGCTATTATCCCACAGCTTTTTATTTAAATGAAGAATAAATCTTGTCGCTTAAGTTGAAAAAAGTATCAGCACAACAAATATCCTAAATCACTTTAATAAAATGGACCCTGAAGAAAAACAGCAAACATGTGGTGATGCAAGTGGTAAGACAAGTGATCCGATGTTAAGTCTAAGTGAAGTTTCTGTAGAGGAAGCGTTGGCAAAAAACGATTTAGTTGGCAATGTAACATTAACTGTGGTTTTTCTGCACAATTTGGCAATAGGAGTGTGCATGCTTTTAGAAGAACATCTTTGGTTAATAAGCAGAGCAGATCAGATTCAGTCAGACTCTCAGTGTGATGCTCAGGTCCCATGCTCACAAAGGAAGGAACCAAAACACGAAGAGGACAGCACTTTTGTTATTACCCGGTCCTAATGCCATGGTAGCATAAATGGTGCTGGAAGAAGCAACCAAAGCATTTGTGGAAACTCTTCCCGTTACAGAAAAAGAGCCCCGTTAATTGATGAGGCAAAGAAGGCGAAGAGGGAGTTTTAAATTCCTTTGTTGTGTGTACATTCCAACAATAAAACCCTACGTGGGAAAGAGTTGTTTACACTTTAAAATGCGCCTTGATGGTACATTCACAATTTGGAGCCAAGATGGTGGCACTGAGAGTCGTGACAGAACAGTCTGGAAGCAATACAGCTGAAGCGCTAAAACTACAGTAAGGCAATAGTAAGGTTTTATATTAAGGCTGTATTAGTAAAGCTATGATCAAAAAGATATGATCATTCATGACAACATTTTCCAGCATTGAGTGCAAGAGCAAAGTGCTAAGTATCGATACCTGATTAATAAAGCTAATCAGGCTCCGTGATTGTTAAACACACGCGAGTTAACACGTGATTTGCATAGAGAGTGTGCAAGCAGCAGAGGGCATCAAAGTCAATCATCTATTCTAAACTACATCATCATTACACCTATGAAGAGAAAAGTATGACAAAATATAATTGTTTAACTGGGGAACAACTGCTATGGCATTCTGATTGGCTGACATGCTTCGTTATGATTGGCTAGCAACACAGTAGGTTGGACCCTGAAGAGTGGTGTGACCCTGGAATGAGATGAGGGTGGGCCTTCAGCTTTAAAGGTGGGTGTGGGGAGTGCAGGGGTGGCGTTGAGGCTTTGAGGGTGCCAGGTTTAGGATTTGGGGGCCGCAGCTTTGGCTGGGGGTTTAGGGGGGTCGAAGCCTCTCATTTTGAAATAAGAAACCAGCTGGTTAGGAACCTCAGCGAGGACAGACTGAGCCAGAGACGCCTGTGGAGCCTGCAGAGAGACAGAGACATGTTAGTGACTGACTGTGATGTCAGAGGAAGTGCTAATAAGTCCGTCTTAAATCAACAGGTTCCAGATGATCATTGAAGCAGCTGTAACAGTTCTTCCTGTTCTGGTTGGAGTTTACCAATGTGCTTCCAATAGGTTTGCTTCAGTTCATCTATTTGTCCCATTAGATATACATTTTACTTAAACATAAACAATATGACACATATATTAATACAACAATAAAACAACTTTTATGCTAAAATGTTTCTGAAGCTCATAGGAGACCTCAGCAACACATCCAACTCAAACTCCAGTGCCCACAGTGAATAGAGAGAGCAACACGACGATCCCAGTTTTAAAACTTGCTTTTGAAATGTTGCCGTTGTTTTTTAACTGATTGTCTGTCTAATCTTTATATTTTCTCAGACACAGCTCGAATGCAAAAAGGTGACGGTTAGTTCCTTCGCTTTCATTGTTCTCAGTAGTTCTGGTCACAAAGGGCTAACAGATACTGATACACAACAGATTAAGGCCACTGTAGAAACATAATACCGTTACTTAAATGTACATGAAACAAAACTGGAATATTGTCTGAGATATTAAAGTCATACATTTGCCAGAACACAAGCCAGAGATTGAGATCATAACTTGTTGACAAGACAAAAAAAAAAAGCAATCATTGTTTTCCTTTGGTCGACAATACTAGCGTGCATTACACTCTTGAGCAGGGTATCACATTTAAGCCACAATTCATTAAAGTGTCTATTTCATTTTTACCCAGCTGGAGGCAGTGACGAAGAAAAGTTAGCAGGGGGAAATACCTCTAGAGCTACAGACCAGAAGTGCCACAAAGGATGAATCCTTGTGGTTGCACACACACTTACATCTTTGAACTTTCTGAAGGGGACAAACTGGACGATGTCCCTGGCGACGGCCTCCCCCACCGTGGACCTCAGCACGCCGTCGTCCCCGTCCAGCAGCTCCATGGCCGTGAAGTCAGCCGGGCCCACCCCCACGATGATGACGGACAGGGGCAGCCGCGACGCCCGCACGATGGCGTCCTTCGTCTGGTCGAAGTCAGTGATCTCACCGTCAGTGAGGATGAGGAGGACGAAGTATTGCTGCAGAGAGATACAGATGGAGATGAGTGTGTGTTTTTGGTTGTTTGTTGTGTGCATTTGTGTGTGTGTGTGTGTGTGTCCTCACAGCGGCATTGTTGCTCTGCGCTGCTTGGGAGGCGATGCCAGCGACATGGTTGATGAGGGGGGAGAAGTTTGTGGGTCCAGAGAGTCTCAGCTGAGGCAGGGCCATCCTGTAGGCCTCCACGATGCCCTGGACACCTGACAGAGAAGAAGTTTAACAGAGAGGAACATATTTAGTCATATGTCGAGCAGCTGAGACAATCTAGGGAAATATAGAAACAGTAAATCAGGTTATCAAGTTCGGGTTGATTACAGGGAGTTTAAATGCTGGTATTTCTCTGTAGTTCTTGTCAAACTCTGCTGTAGTTACCCAGGGAAATAAGAAGAACCAGGGATCTTTTATAATGTGTGTACTTGTGCTTAACAATATCGATTGAAGGAGACTCCTTCTCCAAAACCCATTTCAGCTACCACACAACTGCCATAGAGATCATCTGACCTTAAATTGCTAAAATCATTATGGTATTTATCTGAACACATTTTCAGACGCATTTATTTCACCGAAAAGCAAAGATCAGGGAAACATTCTTTTTTTTCTTCTTTCCTCCTGAATGACTAAATTGTCCACTTTTATTTTGTCTCCTTTTCAAAGAGGGTGTGACCACTAGGCATTAGTTACAATCCTTACAGTTTTATACAAATGAAAGTAGTAAAAAGTAGCTCCATCTGGACTAGCAACAACACTGAAATGCTTCTTTAGTATCATTATATCAGTACTTAGAATGTAATATTGTCACAAACCACATT